AATTAAAAAAAAAAACTCTTTTTGGTTGTTATTAATGTGTAGTAGAGTTTAGGTCAATGTATTATTATTATTATTATTATTGTCGACAATGTCAATTGTTATTTAATTTAATTTTTTTTTTCCCCCGGGTATATATATATATATATCATTCATTTTGCTTTCTTATTATTATTATTTTTAATTAATTAATTAATTAATAAACTTGCCAATTAATAATAATAATAATATATATATATATTTCTTCATTGTGAAAATTTGTTTGTTTTTTAATTTAATACAGACGAAATTAAATTGATTAATTATCATAAGTTAAGTATATGGATAATAATAATGATTTTTTTTTTTAAGTAATAAATTTCTCGTTTGTCGTTTGTATTTGTATGTTTTGTATGAGGAAAAAAAAAAAGCACCGTTTTTTTTTTTTTTATATATTGTGGCACGGTAAAAAAAAAAAAATTGTAAAATTGTAATAGAATGAGCAATAAATAAATAAATAACTAAAAGTTAAAAACGTGTGCGTAAAAATGAGAATTTTTTTTTTTAGTTTGTTACCCCCCACCCTCACCCCCCATTAAATTGTTTCCTGTAGCAACAGCAAAAGTTTGTTAAATGTTGGAAAAAATGGAAGAAGAAGAAAAATTTCGTTTTGTACAATATATAAAAAAAATTTTTGGAAATGATGTAAACGATATCGACTTATTAATTTTTTTGGTTTGTTTGTTTGTTTGTTTGTTTGTATATTATCATTATCATTAAAATAAAACGTCACATATAATTTTAAATTGTTTTAGATCGATATGAAATTATTACAAAACAATAAAAAAATTACGGATTTGTACGAAAAGGATGACGACAACAATTTAATAATGGATATAATAAAAAATTGCAAGAAAGAAATTGATAATAATAATAATGATGATAAGGCTCCCATATGGATTCAAACAATAAAATTACAATTATTTTGGATGAAAAAATATCGTTTAAAAGGTATTTATATAGAAATTTTTCGACTTTCATTACGGGATGTTAAAATGATTGTTTGTTTGTTTGTTTGTTTGTTGCAGAAGAAATAAAAAAAATACATCACGAAACAATATTTAAAAACGTGTTGCCAATATTTTCCGACATAGTCGATGAAAGTTATAAAAAAATTGTCAACAAGATACACCTTTATAGGAAAATTGTTATTTTTGTCATAATGTTTGCCGGATTGGGATTACCAACGGAAGAATCGATTATTATAGAAACTCAAGGTTGTTGAGAACTCCCTAATTTATGATAATATTATTATTATTATTACGAATTTTTTTTTTTTCAGCTGCTTTGCAAAGTATATTTAAAAATTCAGAAATGGATAATTTCATTATGCTGAACAAACATTCGAAAGAACATCAATTAATTGAATTTGCACGACTCGTTACAGGCATACGTCTTTTTAATAAGGATTGTAAAAAGGGAGGAGAAGGAATCGATGATCGTAAGTGATTATGATGATGATAATGATAACAAAGGAAACTAATGCTAATGTTTTGTTATAGTGCCCATGATATTGTCACAGGGTGTTAAAGCAACCAAAGAAAGAGTTGCGCGTTTTAAAAACGATTTAAATGAAAAAATTAATTGTTTTGTAAATGGCGGATTTAAAATCTACGATTTGAATAATTTAGATGATAAAATAAAATTACGCCATTTTGAAAATGTTGAAAATATTAAAAACGGTTTGATTTATCTAAGGCAAATTGAAATATCGTTAAAGTTTGTTGTTTTGATTCTTCTGTAAGGGATTCGAGGTCTATGACGTAATAAATTTTGTTTTTGTTTGTTTTTAAGGGATATCATTAGGGATTTAAACGATTCGTCGATGATAATAGATGAACTTATATTAAAATTACAATCTTACCTTTTAAAAATCCACGATGTTGTTAAATATAGGGTAGCCGTTGCAACGGTTCAAGTTTTCCCTCTTTTCCTCCAATTGAGTAACGTTTGGGTTCAAATGCAAGAAGAAATTGACGTACTAAGTGAAATCAATAATAATTTCGTTGAACTTTCGTCTTATATGGAGGTGACAATACCTGAAAATATTTATTGTATATGTTAACCATAAGCTAATAATAATAATAATTAATTTGCAGTTGATTAATAAAAAAAATTTCGAGATATCGTTATTTTCGACTGATTTAAATACGTTTTTACCAGTAGAAATCAACGATTCGATTATACAAGATACTCCCGAATTTTATCCCGGTGTTAAAATTTATTCGATGAAAAATTTAGCAGAAGACAACATTGTGGTAAATTGATTTTAAAAAAAAAAAATTGAAAATTTTTGTAAAGGAAATAAATATAAATTTGGTTTTTATCGCAAGTTGGAATATAACGGATTTTGTGCTTGGACTTTGTCACACACAAATGGATTTTTACTCACCGGAAATGTATCAATCGGTATTATGGAATTTGATAATCGTTATTATTCATTTTATTCACCGGAAGCGAGTTACAAATGGGCTAAAGATCCAATACGTTACATAAAATCAATTTTTACAATCGTTAGGATCAAAGTGGATTTAATTAATATTTTAAACATGAGAAAAGATTTAGAAGATTATGGAAGGGAAATGTTGTGAGTTATGATGGTGTGTTCAGTTTTCGTTCGATGATGAATTTATTATAATTGTGGATTTTTTTTTTTGTTTAAATGTAGGAAATTTAATGAGGAACCTAAGAGGGCAAATGTCGAAGTTCAAACAGAACTTCATCCCATTGAATCAAACATAAATAAAAATCACACGTTTAGCGAATGGGAGTTAAAGAAAAGAGCTGTGAAAATAGCAAATTTAACGAAATGTCAAACTAAATCCCAACAAACGATTCGTTTGAAACGAGATTTTTGTATTCAAATTACTCCAGTTATGGATAAAAATATACAAACTTTAACGGACAAATCTTGTAATCATGACCATTTTTCAAAAGCCGTATGGAAATTATATTAATTAAATATATATAAATTACCTAATTATTATTAGCATTTACATTTCTTTAATACTTTTATATCCTTTTTAAAAGAAAAATTTGCTTACCGTTAGATTAAAAGTTTTTTTTTTTTTTCCATTATTAATTAATAAGTTTGTAAACCCCTCAATGTGTTGTAATTGATTAAACATAAAATGAAGTTTAAAACTTTTCTAAAACTATATTAATTATTAAATTAGTCGTTAAACCAAAAACGATTAATAACTTTTCTTAAACCGCAATTTAATAAAATTAAACATATATGTAATAATTAATAAAAAAAACTTCATTATTAAAACCGCCAAAGTCTGCCATTTTAATTTTTAATTACAATTTCGGTTAAAAGATGTCGTGCGTAACCGACTCACCGACTCCTTCTCTCTCTCTATCTCTCTCTAATTCGAACGTACGATTAGACATTTAGTACAAGTTTTTTATTAAGAGCTTAGTTAGTATCAACTATGTCTCGGTAGAATTGAGTGTTTTAATAATATATGTATAATGGCAGTTAAAGTGAGGTGGAAATTTTCTCGCTGTGTTTTTATTTGTATATTTAGTGCATATTTTATTAAATTAGTTGATTGTGTTTATTTGAGTAAGTATGCGAGTATTGTTAAGCATAAAAAAAAAATTCTTTACTGTGTCATATATATAGTTTCATGCTTTGAGCTTCCTGTTGTAATGGCGTCCGATATAAGAGTGGTACTTGAAAAAATGAAACAACCTTTTTTTTTTTACCCCCACTAAATTTCTTTTATGCATATATATATATTTTTAAATTGTTGTGTGTAAGGTACTTGCACCGTAAAACCTTATTTCAATTTTTTTTTTTGGTAGTATTGTGTGTACATTCATCAGTACCTTGTTGTCTATTATTCGTTAATAACCTTGAACTAATATTAACGGTTTTTGACCTTAGTTTAGGATTATGTTACACATCGAAAATATATATATATATATACCAAAATAAATAAATAATCAAAGTACAATAATAAATAAAAAAAGAATCAAAGTCGTCTTCCCAGTAATACATTTTATAATTTTAATAAACTCAACTTTGATTCATATCATACAATTTTTTTTTATAAATTATTTGTTTTTAATATAAAAATTTCATTACGACATAACAGTAAATGTGTCACAAACATCACACACACACACATGGTTGGTGACACACACACCGACTTCCATTAATACAAAACTTTTTTATTTATTATTGTAATTATATTATTTTATTCGTTATCCACTAAAATTATTATTATTATTATTATTATCACATTACTTTTAATTACCTTAGTTAAATCTGTATCGAATAAATAAATCATTAGTATCATAATAATAATAATAATAATAATGCAATTAAAATTTGTTATCACACATAATAATAATAATAATAATTAAACGATTATTCGTTATTGTTTTTCATACACTTATCAATTATTTTAATACAAATTATATTCATTATTATTATTATTATTATTATTATTATTATTTATTTTTAAATGAAGGATTTTTAAATGAGTCACAATCATGATTTTATTCGATTTGATGAATCAAAATTGAAGAAAATATTTAAACTTGACGATTGTAAAAAATTTTAAAAAAAAGAATTTTTTTCATATTACCCCCTTTATTCATGTCGGATATTCCAAATTTAAAAAATTGTTTGTAGGTTTTTAATTTTGTACCAAGTTTGTTTGTTTGTTTGTTTGTTTGTAAAATCAAATTTCAATTCATTCATCATTTAAATAATTTTTTTGGAATAACAACATTGAAATGTGAATGTAATGAAATGATTTTACAATTTTTTTTCAACTATTTGAAATTATCGGTTCACAATCGATTATTATTATTATTATTATTATTATTTTGATGTTAATTCGAGGTTTGTTTTTGTTATTTGTGATAGTTTTATTCGAAACAGTTTTTGTCAAATTCATCATTAATCATTACAAAAAAATTTTTACAAGTTAATTGTTTAATTTTAAGCAAATCCTAATCGAATAAAGGTTTTAAATTGATTTTACGAATGATAATTTATAATTTGGTAATTATTGAATAATGCATTAGAAGTAAAAAAAAAAAAAAAAAAAAAAAGTGATGATACTGATTTGTATAATAATTAGGTTATTAATGATGCATTTAACAACATTCTTCATCCTATTATTTTTTTCGAATGGATGAAAAACAAATAATAATAATAATGATAATGATAATGATTGTAATGATTCTTTTGTTATTTTTCCTATTTTGAATGGCAGGCAGACATCAAAGTATTATTAATGTTTATTGTTTTATGTTTGGAAATTTTTTTGTAAGAATGATATGAAACATTCTTGAATTTGGAAGAAAAAAAAACAAAATCATTTCATTCATTCATTCGAAAAAAAAAATTCCCCCATTTTTTTTTTTTTTTGTTATTTTAATTTCCTTAAAAAAAAAAAAATTTTATTCTTAAAGCTAATAATAACCGGTTAATGATGGGAGGTAGGGGGGAGGGGGTAGTGCAAAGCGCGAAAAGTAATAATAATAATAATAATGGTAACAAACGATTGGAAAGTTTTGTTTTGTTTTTTTTTTTACAAAGTCATTAAATTTTATCAACAGGTCATAGTAATTGATGATTGATGAGAACATGACTTTTAAATTCTATTTTTTTTTTTTTTCCTTTCGTCTTTATTGTTTTTTGTTTGTCGAGTTAAATAAAAAAATTGTCGATGTGTGAGAAATTTTTTATACGAAAAAAAAAAAAAAAAAAAAGGAAAAAAAAAATTATTTTCCGTTTTGTGTACTAATTACATGTTTTGTTGAAAACAAACACAAAATGTAATAAAAAGTATTTTTTCATCCTCGTTATTTTTCCCTCTCTCTCACTCACTCTCTCTCTCTCTCTCTCTCTCTCTCTCTCTCTTTTTTCTCTCTCCACATTTATGGATTTATTGTTTGAGAAATGAATTAGTAAAAAAAAAAAAAAAATAAATAAAACGATGATTAATTATAAGAAGTAATGTTTTTGTTGTTGATGATGATGATGATGATGATGATGATGATGATGAGCTTAGAAAGTGAAAGGTGACGTTTTTATTTGAAAAAAAAAAAAAAAAAAAAAAAAAAAATTCATTTGTATTGTTCTCTCTCTCTCTCTCTATTACTGTATATCTCTATGTTGTCTCTCTCTATATTATTGTATGTCTCTATGTTGTTTCTCTCTCTCTCTCTCTCCTTCTCTCTATATTATTGTATGTCTCCATGTTGTTTCTCTCTCTCTCTCTCTCCTTCTCTCTATATTATTGTATGTCTCTATGTTGTTGTCTCTCTTTCTCTCTCTATTATTATATGTCTATATATTAACTCTCTCTCTCTTTATTATTGTATGTCTATATAGTCTCTCTCTCTCTTTATTATTGTATGTCTCTCTCTCTCTCTGTCGTACATTATAAAAATATTATTTTTATTTATTTTTATTAATCGTTCCGTTTCGAATGTCAAAAAAAAAAGCCAGCACAGGTACATTTAAAAAAAAAAAGAATCCACTTTGTAACATCGTATAAATGTAATAATAATAATAATGATAATGATAATAATAATTAACGAAATCATAAAAATGTTTTTAAAAAATTCAAATTTTTTTGGTTGGCTTCACGATAAACAAACACATTTTTTTTTTTTTCATTCATTTTTTTTTTTTTTTTTTTTTTTTTTTTTTTGACTTTTGCTGTTGGTTTCTGACGTTTACAAACAAACAAACCCCCCCCCCCCCCCCCCCAGTTGTTTGGAATTTAAGTTCTATTGAAACTTTGTTTTTTTTTCCCAAAAATTTCCCCCCCAAGAATTTATTAAAAAAAAAAAAACAAAAGGGTTGGCCCACATTTATTATTATTATTATTATTATTATTATTATTATTATTATTATTATCATCATCATCATCATCATCATCATCATCATCATCATCATCATCATCATCATCATCATCATCATCATCATTATTATTATTATTATTATTATTATTATTATTATTATTATTATTATTATTACTTTCCCGGCTAAGAAATTAAAAATTCACTTTATAAATGATATAAAATGTATGATACGTTTTTTTTTCGTTAAACATTCGCTCGTTTTCTACCAAAGATTCTCTCTCTTTCTCTCTCTCTCTCTCTTTTAAAGGACCGTTTCGTGTATTTTGTATGAAAATGAAACAGAGAGAGAGAGAGAGAGAGCACAACATCAACTTTTTTTAAATTAAAAATGTATAAAAAAAATATATATAAGTATAATGTTTCTTTTCAAATTTTTTTTTTTTAATTACGCGTTTTTATATGAGTATATAAAATAATGATGATGATGATGATGATGATATTTGAAATGAAAACACTATTAAAACCATTATTATTATTATTATTACAAACGAATTCGAATTTTTTTCTGTTTTTTACCACGAACGCGTATTTAATTAACTAAATCGGATATCGGTTTATCGATATTTTCGAGTAATCAAAATTTTATATGTTTATATCGAAGGAGGGGGGGGGAAATGAAGAAGGATTTTCTCGTATACGAATTGATTGTATACAACAACAACGACAACAAAAAATTATCCCGTTGTTGTTGTTGTTTGGTTTTGTTTTGGAAGAGAAAGAAAGTTCCCCCGTTTAAAATGGGGGAACTTTTTTTTTTTTTTTTTTTTTTTTTAAACTTTATGCGTGTATGTATGGTTTGTGTGTAATAAAATCCTCCTTACCCCTCCCCCTCTCTTCCCTTTCCTCCGACCCGGGTCCGAAAACGGACTCGAAAAAAAAGAAAAACGTTAATAAACGCGTCGCGAATCTCGTGCCACGACGATTTTTTTTTTTTTTTTTTAATAAATAAATTTCCCATCGAAATTTTTATTTTCTTTCTATGTAAGTCTCGAAACGTTTACAACCGTGCAAAAAAAAAAAAAAAATAAATAAATAAATAAATAAATGAATTTTTATATTCTATTCAAATTTCAAACATGACGACGACAATGATAATTTATGATTTGTTGTTGTTGTTGTTGTTATTATTATGCAATCGTTATTACCAACCGAAAAAAAAAAAAAAAAATGATACGTGAAAAAATTATTATTAAAATTAATTAAATTTTTATATTAAATGGAAAGACGAGGAGGGTATAAACAAACAAACAAACGAACGAAAGAACGAACACAATTATGTTTTTGTTTTTTTTGTGACCATCATTCACACGGACGCTTCGTCTTTGTTGTTGTTTATTATTATCATTATTATTATTATTATTATTATTATTATTATTATTACACAATGGTCATTCTCTCATTTTACGCATAAATGCGTACGAGCACCATGTTTTTTTTTAACGTCGTTTAATATACTCGTGTTAAAAAGAAAAAAAAAATTTTTTTTTTTTTACGTAACTTTGTTCGAATTTTCCTCATTATGTTATTATCATCATCATCATCATCATCATTATTATTATTAGTTTATTTTGCATAACCGCGCTCGAAAACGTTTTCTTATTAAATAGCAATAATAATAATAAGTTTAGCAGGTTTTCGACTCGATTTCAATATATATATATCCTCAAAGGTATTAAATTTAATGCCCGTTTTATTTAATAATAATAATAATAATAATAATAATAATAATAGGAAAAAAAACAAGATGGCTCTCGGGCTTTGACGCGTGAGCGATTTTTTTAAAAAAAAAAAAAAAAAAAAAAAACGTGGTTTTAATATAAAAATCAAAAAAAGAAAAAGATGAAGAAATAAAAAAAAAAAAATAAAATAAAATCTTTAATTGTTTGGGGATGCTGCGGGTCAAAACAGCTGCAGAGAAAAATAAGAAGAAAAAAATACGGGGAGGGGAAGGGGGGAGGGAGAAGGGGGACGGTTGGTTGGCTTCGGACCAATTTTCGAATTGATTCGTAAATAAACGGTTTAGTAAGAAGAAGAAAAAAAAAATAATAATAACTAAGCTATTTTTTTATATTTTTTCATTGCCCGTTTTGTTGTTGTTGTTGTTGTTTGTTCTGCATCAAGAAACAAACAAGGGGAAGAAAACAAATTTAATGACTCTCGTGCGCGTATACGGCACCTTTTTTTTTTTTTTTTTTTATATTTTAATACCGGAAATGAACTTGAACAAAGACCGAAGCGAAATATCCTGATCTCTCTCTCTCTCTCTCTCTCTCTCCCTCTCATCCTTTCCCCCTCCCCGTCTTTATTCCGTACGGTATCGAATGCATATCGAGAAATCGAACGATTTTGAAAAAAATGAAATAAAATCGTGAAACGAAACGTTTGAACGATTCTCACCTAACAATAATAATAATAATAATAATAATAGCAGACGAAAATTGTTGGGGCGCCCGTTCGGCGTCGGGTTTCAACCCCATACGGTCAAATTTTCGTATAAAAAATCACATTTAAACTAAGGGATGAAACCTCCTATAATATAAAACCTTTTAGAAAACTTTTTTTTTTTTGTGTCCGTAAGGAAAATAAACAGGAAGTTTCTTTCTACGTTAATAAATAAATAAATAAAATATGTCTCTAGGTCACGTGTGAAACGTCATTATTATTATTATTATTATTATTATTATTATTATTATTATTATTATTATTATTATTATTATTTACTCATTAATTTTTTTAAACATAGGATTATACGATATTAAGTATAAAAAATGGAGTCGCGGCGAAATGTAGGGGATGTAAAAAAAAATGTAATTTTTGGGTTTCATTTTGATGACAATTTCTCCAACCTTGAAAAAAAAAAAAAAAAAATGGAAGCCACAAATTTTGTCGCGTTAATAAATTTTTAGGTTTCGAACAAGTTAATAATAAGAAAGAGAGAGAGAGAGAGAGAAAAAATTAATTAAATAACGCGATGACCCGGACTAATAATAATTATCCGTTCGATGTTTTAGAAAAGTATAAAATTTATACGAAATCGTCATCATCATCATCATCATCATCATCCTACTGAAATTCGCCATTTTTTTTTTTTTTTTAATTCATGTTTGTCTCGCGCTCATGACTAAACACTATTTAAACGGTCGTTAATTTTTAAATGTCGCAAGTTAGAAACGCTTAAAATTGGGATTTTTCGTCAAATACAATTCGTGGAGGAAATAGTTATCGCGAATTGTTTTTATTTATTTCCGTCTCTCTCTCTCTCTCTCTTCCTCTCTCTTTCTCTCTCCCCCCCCTCTCTCTCTCTCTCTCTCTCTCTCTCGTGCAGGATTTTTTTGTTGTTGTTGTGACGTTTCGTTTAACGTTTCCAGGGTGTTCGAAAATTAAAAACAAAGAAAACTAACTCCTATTCGATAGAGAGAAATTTTCCCACCGCTCCCTCCCCCTCTCCCTCCCCGACATCGATTATTATTATTATTTATAATTTAAAAAATTCACGATGAAGTTGTAACGCAAGTATGATAATGATAATGATAATACTATTATGTAATCGTTAGATTTTAATTTATAAAAAAAAAAAAAAAAAAAAACAAGATAATAAAATGAGTAGCACACACACTTTAAAAGGAAACATTTAAAGACGATCGAGGAACGAAACGAACGACAACATGATAACAAACGGCAAAATTCTTTTTTTGCAGATCGGGGGATTCAGATAAAACTATAAATAAATTTAAAAAAAAAAAAAAAAAAAATTAAGAGAAAAATGGTGGATGAACCCGTGAGAGAAGAGGACGAAACGAAGATGACGTTCCGGGCCGTTATGGACGAAAAATATTACACCGAAACGCCCACGACGAAAATTTACGCGGCGGAATTAAATTCGCCGAAATTCATATCGAAAATCGTTAAATCTTTGAACGACTTGTTGCCCATACCGAAATTACAACATTTGAAAAGAGTCAAAAGAATCGGAGATAAATTTCACGTTATTTTGAATTTCATACCGGAAAAAGGTGTGGAAGGAGAGGAGGAGGATGGGGATGGGGATGGGGAAGAACGTTCGAGTAAAAAAATGAAATTGAACGATGATTGTATCATTTTGGATGATTTGAAAAAAAAGGGATTCGATTATGAGAAATTAGGGATCGTCGGAGTTGGAATTCATTCCGTTCCGATACGCGGACCCAAAACGAGGCAACAATTCGAGAAGGCCATGGAATATTGGCCGGTTAATTTTCATCCGGAGAAGAAAATCGAAACGATGTTGAGCGAGAGAATATTCGATGAATCCGAACGCGAATATCATTTGGATAACATGAAACGAGTTTTGAAAATGTCGGAGAACGAGAATGGGAAAAACGTCGCCATGATTGTGGATTTCAAAGAGAGACGAATCATCGCTTGGGGATGCGATAGGGTGGAAGTGCATCCTTTACAACACGCCGTAATGGTGGCGATTGATGTCGTCGCGAGAACGAATAATGGAGGCGCCTGGGATCTTCCCTACGATGAATTAACTTTCGATATGAAAAACGCAACGTTGAATCATGAATCATCGTCAATGGACAAGGTGAAGTTGAAAGCGGGGGAGGTTGATGATGATGATGATGATGAGGCCCCTTATTTGTGCACCGGTTACGATTTGTACGTGGCAAAAGAACCTTGCGTAATGTGTGCCATGTCTCTCGTACACAGTCGAATCAAAAGAGTTTTCTTCCACGTTAGAAATCCCGAAAGGGGAGCTTTGGCCTCCGCGTGCCACGTTCACACCATCAAAGATTTAAATCATCATTACGAAGTTTTCGAGTTCGTCAAAGCAAAAGAATGAGAGTTTATCGAACGGATAAAAACTGACACAAATTAATAATAATAATAATGATGATGATGATGATGATGATAAAATATATTTTTTGTAGAAAAATGCGAACGAATAAAATTTATTATTTGTACGTGAAGGCGTTTTGTATAAATTTAATTAAAAAAAAAAAATAATAAAAAAAATGTCGGCGAAAAAAAAAAAAAATGTCGGCGTAAAAATTGTCCCCTCAAAAAAAAAAAAAATTCAAACGTGATTTACGTTGCACCTTAATTATAAAAAATGACGTCACTATTTTTTTTTTTTTTGTTTCTATTTCCCCTACGAAGTTATAAAAAAAAAAAAAAATTATTTATATATTTTAAATTTGGTTATCGTTCACACGCACACGTTCGTTCGTTCGTTCGTTTGTTGAACGTGTCTGGAAATTTAATTTTTCATTCTCCAAAAAAAAAGAAAAGAAATACTACGTTAAAAAAATAAATAATTGGTTGTTAGTTTTTTTATTTACACGTCGTTTAGTTTGTGTAAATGAAATGAAATTTAATGAATTAATGATGAAATTGTATGAATCGATTTAGTGGTAGTAGTAAAAGTGGCAGTAGTAGTAGTAGTAAGTAGGCGGGTTTCCCCCCCTCCCCTCCTGTCTTTTGTTTTCTTTTCCCTGTCATCTATCATTCTTTTTCCATCCGGTAACATCCGGTTTTGGTACAAGAAGAAGAAGAAGAAGAAGGTCTTTTAAAAAAAATTGTTTTTGTTTTTAGAAAGTAGAAAAATATTATAAGACGGTGTGTTCGTATTACATAAATAATTACAATATGTGACATGCATTTAAAATTAAAAGTGTTACACGTTGTGTGCGATTTACGTGATAATTTCGTTTCAACAACAACAACAACAACCGAAAAAATTTAAAAACAAACGATGGATGTAATGGACACGAGATTCACAACGTGGCAGTAATTGTATATTTGTTTTTTAAAAAAAAAAAAAAAATCAATTCCGCATAATAACAATGCAATTTCAGCAATTTACAAATATACACGCGCACGTACGCACGTGTGTATTCCTATCGACCGATTATAATGATGATGATGATGATGATGATGATGATGTAGGGGATCCCTAAAGCGATCATATTGTTTTGACACACTAAATTATTTATCACGGAGCCGATTTGCGTTTACACGTGTCACAGGGATGTCGATTTCATATCGAGTTTTTACGTCCCCCCAAATAATTTAATAAAATCGAAACGGAAACGGAAAAAATGTCATTATTTGCAGTAATTAAAAATTCTTTCTTAAGCGATTTAATTTGTGTTTAATTTGCATTTAAAAATAAATAAATAAATAAATAAATATTTATGCTAAGGTATCATTTTTTTTTTTTTTTTTTTTTTTAAATTACGACGAGTAGTAAAATTTTATATTGAACTTATTATTATTATTTTTTTTACGACTTTGCCCTTTGACCCTTTCTTTCTTTTTCTTTTTGGTATTAATAAAAATGATGTTTTTAGAACTATTAACTGTATTTATAATTAAAGTGTAAGCACGCACGCACGCACGCACGCACGAACGCACAATAAACTTTACCGAATCTAATGGATTACCGAAAAATTAATTATAGAGAGAGAGAGAGACGTTATGGAAAACCGATTTTTTAAAAAGTCTTATTCCACGAAAGATCGCGGATGGAAAACTACCCTTATGAACGTGGCAGCATTTCTCGCGCCAAAAAAAGAGTAAAAATGTCTGACTCTCGAAACAACAAAAAATTCATCATTTTTTATTTTAGCCTTTAAAAAAAAAAAAAATAATAATTTCCTGTCGTAAGCGTATTTATTTTTAAGTCAACGAACTCGTTCCCGTAATCAGCATAAAATAATAATAATAATAATAATAATAATAATAATAATAATAATAATTTGTTGTTGTTGTTTTTTTTTTCTTACATTTCGAATGACAAATGAATTACTTATTTATATCGTGCAATCATCAACGGATGTTTTATTATCGAAAACTGATTAATTAATTTTTTTTACTCTGTGGAGCGTGTCTGGCAAAAAAAATTTAAATTCAATCGTGATTCACAAAAGATTTCTCCTGCCACGTGCGTGCAATTTTTTTTTTTTTTTTTTTTTTTAAAGGAAATCGTAATATTAGTTGTTTAAATAATAATAAGAAATTTGACTTGTGCGTTATTTCTCGATGATTTTTCTTTTCACATGACTAATCTATGAGAGTAAAGAATAAAAAAAAAATGGTGGTAGTGGTAGCAGAATTTCACGATTGTTATTTCCACGGAATAATTCAAATTTATAATTATCGTTATTATATCGTTTTTTTTTTTCTATTTCGAGGATTGGGATGAGCACGTATTCTAATTATTGGTGCTACCGTTCTTAGAATTTGTGTGCTAATGTGCAGAGTTGTATATATTACCCAGAAATACCATTGACTAAGAGAGAGAGAGAGACTCATTTACTACCCCCCACCACCACCACCACTACTACTACCATTATTATTATTATTATTATTACGATTTTTTTTTTTTTTCGTCCGACTCGCTCTCTTCTACTACTTGTAATTAATACCGGTTTTTGTTGTTACGTAAACGATTAAAGTTTTTACGTAGTAGTAAAACTTCACGCGTTTGTACGCGAAATAGTGCGTGCGTACGCGTAAGTTTTATTACGCAGGTGTTAAAAGTGGAAAAACTGATAAAGTATTAAAGCTCTTAGAAGGTTTGCCATTCATTCAAAATTCGATACTCGTTAAAAAATTTATTATTGTAAAAGAGTCGTGATATTAAAATTAATAAATTTTTTTTTTAAACGAGTGGTTAGGTGCGCGTGCGTGCGTGCGTACGTGCTTGCGTGCGTGCATGTGTGTGTGTGTGTGATTGCCTTTTATTACAGAAAAAAAAAAAAAACTACTCGATCACGTTTTCACCTTGAAAGATTACCAAATTCCTCAGGGGGAAATGAATCACAAAATACGTTTGAAATCTGCGTTTTCCGGCTTTAAAAAAAAAGAAAAAGAAAAAGAAAGAAAATAATAATAATAATAATAATAAATGACCTCACAAAGACTTTAGACCGTAAAAAAAAATTTTTTTTTTAAAAAAGAAACATTTTGTCGTCGTCGTAAAAAAAAAAAAAAGTCACATCGGTCCGCGCGACATCCCGGAAATAGTTTTGACGTGAAACGCGTGTGTTCGTGCTCCGGAATAAATTCATCATTTACCAACAACTACGACCCAACAACCTTTTTCGAAAGTGTTTTTTTTTTTTTTTTTTTTTTTTTTTGGGGAGCCATTTTTGTTTATTCGAATCGTTATTTTGAATCAATGAATGTCCTGTCTTAACGTATATTAAGTTAATCGACGATGATGATGACGACATTTAAGTCATTTTGTCAAGGGGTTAAGTGATTGACGTTTACCCGTGACACCAAACATCACGAAATTATACGAAAATTACGAAAAAAAAAAAATTTATAATAATAAAATGATGAGCGCGAACGGTGAAAGTATAAAAAGTAAAGAAAGTTTCCCCCCTCCCCCCATTTAAAAAAAAAAAAAAAATGAGTTAGTGTAAAACAAATTAAAAAAAAAAAAAAAAACGTAAGAGAACGTGAAATCTCCTTAAATAATAATTAAATGGATAAAGACACGGTTTATATGGCGTCGTTGGTGCCACGTCAGTAACATTGTCAAAAAGTTAATACAAATCGATTTGAACGAGAGTTCCCGAAAAACCACAATAATAATAATAATAATAATATTAATGAATGTGCCGAAAATGGGATGATTACAAATCCGGGGAAGAGATACACACAAACAAACAATAAAATTCTATAAAAACAAAACCTAAAAACAATAATAGAGCGGATATCCGGTTTTGCCAGTTACCGAATTAAAAAGGAGAAAACATGTGAATGAAAGATAAATGACGACGAACTTTTCAAAAAAAAATAAAAAAATTTGTTGAAATATCGCCAGAGAATTTGTTGTTGTTGTGATTGTTATTGTTATTGTTATTGTTATTGTTCAAATTCAAGATTAAACAAATTTTTAAAATTCTTAATCGGAAATGAAAAAACAAAAAAATTTAATTATCGTCTTAAAACCCCCCCACCACCACATCCCCTTCCCCCCCCCCAAAAAAAAAAAACAATTTTTTTAAAATTTAAAATCCGACGTCGACAACCTTCCTACTCTTTAAGTTTTTTTTTTTTTTGAACGTCTTTAACCTACTTTAATGAGGAAATTATCATTATTATTATTATTATTAATATTAATATTACTCGGGCCTTAATCGTGTCGCAATTAATAAAAAAAAAAAAATCGTGGCAGGAAGTTTTATATCGTCATTTTTATGTTTGCAACTCCGTATAGTTTTTTAATATGATACCTGTGCACAAGTCATTCACAAAGAAAAAAAAGAAATCGTAATTAAGTGTTTGTTTGTTTGTTTCGGTTGGCGAACGTAAACGGCCCTTAATTATTATTGCGGTTTAATTATTATTATTATTATTATTACCGTCAATGTAATTTGTTTCCCCCTCCCCAACTCCCTTCTCTTCTTTATTTTTTGTTTTTTTCGAATAAAATCGAGTCGAGTTTTGTCACAATAGATTTTACAAATCGGGACACATGTCGTCAATCTTAATAATAATAATAATAATAAATTTGGATATTTTTCGAATAAATCGTAAAATTCAAGGTCGGTCGCCATATCGAATCGCGGTCAGGTAGTAGTAGTGGCACTAGTAGTAGTAGTTACTGGAATTTTGTCACGGAAGCAATCGACGACGCAAGAATTCCAAAAAATAGAGAGAGAGAGAGAGAGATATTATTTCCTTTTACGTCATTTGTTGTTTCTAAAGAAACGGGATCGAAATAGAAAATGTGTGTGCGTGTGTGCGTGTATGTAATTTTCTATTCACACGATGGAAGACACAAAGTTTTTTTTTTTTTTAGATAAAACAGACAATTAAATTCCATTAGTCACGGTTGGAACAATAATCGATTGTAACGTTTGTTGTGATCCCTCCCCCAAAAAAAAAAAAAGAAGAAACTTACCCTTTTTGTTTTTCTAAATCTGTCCTTCTTTCTCTTTCTCGAAAACGGGGTGAGACTGATGTTTGCCATAATGGTGTCTCTCACCTGAAAAACAAAAAAAAAAATAAATAAATTTTCAAATTGTTACACGGTATAGCGTTAATAATAATAATAATAATGGTGGTTAAATCACGTTCAAATATTTAATTAAAACTTTTACGTATATCATCATTATTATTATTATTATTATTATTATTACATATATTTAAAAATTGTTCAATTTGTAATTTTTTTTTTTTTTAAACGAAGGCAACCACAAATTTCAAATTAGGTCAAAATGTTAATTTCTCTTAAATTTGGCATTGACGAAAGAAAAATAATAATAATAATTATAATGACGCAGGAATTTAATTTCTCTTCTCGGCCGAATTGAAAAAAAAAATTTTTTTTGTTCTCGTTTAGATGATAATGATGATGGTAGTAGGCCATCGAAAGACTTTACCGAGCACAGCGTCACAAAACCGAGGATATATCACGGAAGAACGAAAAGAGAATTATCGAGGAGTCACGATCCCGGGGAAAAGGGTGGACACGCGCCGGATTTAATAATATCCCTACATCTCGACGGGATCGAAAGGATTTTAGAATTAACAATTAATTATGATCTCATAAGTAAATCGTATTTTGAAAAGACTCAAAAAAATGGATCGTACCACGTTCACAAACCTACACCGGACGTAAGTACTCCCCCCCCCACCCATTTGCCTTCGTCGTTCGAACGAAAAAAAAAAAAAAAAAAAACTTTTTTGTTGTTGTTGTTGTTGTTGCAGGAAATGGAATTGTGTCACTACAACGGGTACATACGTAACGTTCCCGGGTCTTGGGCCGCATTGTCGACGTGCACTCATTTGAAAGGTATCGTTCACGATGGAAAAGAAACGTATTACGTGGATAAAGGGCCCGAAGAGGGTTTTAATTACGTGTACAATGGAAAACACATTAATCCGAATAAAACGCTGTCGTGTGGATTTCCACAAAGTGACAAATTATTAAGGGTGAGCATTGGTAAAAGGTTACGAATCCCTCCCCCCATTTTTCTTTACGTTCGAGAGAGTATTTTTTTTGACCTACCAAAATTCAACAACGCTAATAATAATAATTATAATTTAAATTACTTTTTATCACTCTCGTTGTTGTTGTTATTATTGCATGCAAAAGGAGATTCCGTTAGTCCGAGGGATTTTCATTAGTTTGCCCTACAATTTCAAAAATCCGTGTCGAGAATAATTTTTTTTAATGTGGTTTAGAAATTACTAAATTAGTAGTAGTAGTAGAGAGGGGGGGAGGTCCCTGCGATCGTCCTTTCGTATTTGAAATAATGATTTTTTTTGTTTCTTTCGGACAGCTGAAAAGAGACACGGATGCCATACGAGGGCCTTACAATGCCAATCGACAGTCGAGATACGTCGAATTACTTCTCGTCGTCGATCACGAAGAATATAAAGCTTTGGGAGATTTGAAAGATGTTTACCAACATTGCAAAGACATAACGAATATAATCAACGCGGTCAGTGTAGCAAATGTAAAAACTGCCTACCTTCCTTCCGTTCGTTAATAGTAATTATTATTATTATTATTATTATTAATTTCAGTTGTTTGTTCCCTTAAACATTTTCATTGCTCTTATCGGCGTCGTCGTGTGGACTGAAAAAAACGAAATATTTTTATCAACAAACGGTGATAAAACGCTAACGAATTTTTTATTATATAGAAAAGAATTTCTGGTCAAGAAACATCCAAACGATAATGCTCAATTGTTGACGTAAGCTGCTAATTAATAAATTCGTTAATAATTTTTTTTTTTTCAATATATATTAAGAGTATATATGTGTGTGTGTGTATGTGTGCAGGAGAGTTCAATTCGACGGAGGAGTCGTAGGAAAAGCATTGAAAGGACCGATATGCACTTTCGAATACAGCGGTGGGATTTTCATGGATCACAGTTCCGTGGTCGGTTTGGTTGCCACAACGGTCGCACACGAGTTGGGTCATAATTTCGGAATGGAACACGATCGTTCGGATTGCGAATGTCCCGACGATCGATGCATAATGGCACCGTCATCAAGGTGAGGAGGAAGCGAGAAGAAGACTCGTTGTTGTTGTTGTTTGAACTTGAAATGATAATTGAAAAAAAAAAATTTGAATGGGAAATTCTTTGATAAAATGTGGGTGAATGATGATAGATAGAACACGAGTGGGATGAATGGATGTATGTGAAAAGGTGATGCGTGTGTGCGTGCGTGTGCGTGCATGCATGCGTGCGTGTACACGTTGAATTGAAGATTAACAGGTAGGGTTGTTCTGTACGTTTTGTAATTCGTGACCGTTTGAGGTGTATCAAACTAAATTCGATTGCGTAATGTATTTATAATTGTAAAAATGTCAAAACCCACGCGAGCGTAAGCTAATAAAGTAAACGAGTTTTTCCTTTTTTTTATAAATGATTATTGGTACCTATCGCGAGTTTTCCAAATCCGTATTATTTGTTTGTTTTTTTTTTTTTTTTTTTAGCGCCATGTCACCCTCTCATTGGTCCTCCTGCAGTCTCGAATTTTTAGCTCAAGCTTTCGAACACGGAATGGATTATTGTTTGAGAAACAAACCGACGAAACTTTTCGATTCTCCGGTTTGCGGAAACGGATTCGTCGAACCGGGAGAACAATGCGATTGCGGTTTGCCTCACAGATGCAATAATCCTTGTTGTAATGCCACGACGTGTATGTTGTTTGCCAACGCGAGTTGTGCAACCGGCGAATGTTGCGATTTTGAGGTACGCGGTTTTTTTTTTTTTTACCCAACATGCATCTCACCGAATGAAAAATGAAATAATAATAATAATAATAATGGTTTCGTAAATTTAGACTTGTAAACCTAAAGGAGCTGGAATTGAGTGCAGATCGGCCGAACACGAGTGCGATTTACCCGAATATTGTACGGGAGAAAGTGAATACTGTCCTTCGGATGTGTTCAAAATAGATGGAGATAGTTGCAGTAAGGGAAAAGTGAGTCAATTGTTTTTGTTTTCGTTAATTATGTTGGGGGGGGGCGGGGGTGACTGCTTTCTATGAATTTTTTCATTATTATTTGCGGAAATATTTCAGGCATTTTGTTATCAAGGAAAATGTCGATCCCATTCCGATCAGTGTCAATTATTGTGGGGTCCGAGTGGTAAAAACTCCGATACGAGATGCTACGAGAAAAACATTAACGGGAACATGCATGGAAATTGCGGTTATAATCGTTTAAATAAAACATACGTTAAATGTTACAGCGAGTAAGTTATGGTATTCGATTCCCCGTAATTTGTATTAATCGTGGATGATTAGAATTTTTCAACAAAATGAACCTGAACCTTTTTTTTGGACAGGAACGTATACTGTGGCATGGTACACTGCAGTCATTTAAACGAAAGACTGGAATTCGGAATGGAATCCGTTTCGATATTGGCTCATTCGTTTATTAACAGCGGTATGAACATTACCGCATGCCGAACGGCCATGGTCGATTTGGGACTCAACGAAATAGATCCCGGATTGGCTCCGGATGGTGCCAAATGCGGAGAGGGAAAAGTCAGTGTCGTTAACTGTCATTATAAAGTAACTTAAGAAATACATATTTTAACGAACATGTTTGTTTTTATTTAGATGTGCGTTAATCAAAAATGTATGTCCGTGGGAGATTTACGGAAATCGAATTTGGAATCTTGCCCTAATAACTGCAGCGGAAATGGAATTTGTAACAGTAAAGGTCATTGTCACTGTAATCGCGGTTTTGCTCCGCCTCTTTGCGCTTATCCCGGTGCTGGAGGCAGCACCGATAGTGGACCCGCGAGCGATCCTAATCGTGAGTTTTGTCGTCAAATTTTTTTTAAATTTTTTTAAAATTTTTATTCAATTTAAATTTTTTTTTTTTTTTTTTAGTTGGAAAAAGAGTCACGATCGCTTTGTATTTAGTTTTTCTCGTCATATTCATATTATCTATTTTGGCATTTTTATTTATCTACTACACGAGAGCTAATGTTAAAATCTGGTGGAAAAAATCTCCTACGAGACATACCAGCGCGCCGTAAGTATCGGGAATGGATTTCTCAATTTGTAAATAAAAAAAAAAAAAAACGCAATAATTAAAAATTTTTTTTTTTTTTTTTTTAGTTGGGAATGTAAGAGGCAATCGCCAGGACGAGGAGCAACGGTATTGCTTCCTGAAAATGTGGGCATAGTCGACGTTGGAATTATTAGAGATAGGTCTCCGGGTCCTAAAGCGACATTACTAAATGAAAAACAAGCTGCCGTTGTCACTCCGGCAAAGCCAAAAATTAACGATCTTCAAAGTGAATTGTTCGTCAAAGGAAAAGGTTTTACCATAAAACCCATTAAAAAACCGGGAGAAAGCGTTCCTAATTCTATGGTTAAAAATACAGAGTTCAATCATGAGAAATCGAACAATATTTTACCGCCATCTTATGTCAAATACGAAAAAGTCAATTCGAATCCAAACGATAACGATTTAAATTCGGGAATATATGCTAATATTGACAATAAGTGGAAATCTGAAAACGAGGAACCGCCTCCGATTGTGCCCTCGGCTCCAACTCTACCCAACGTAATTTTCGCAAATCCTAGAACCAAATCAAAAAACAAATCGTTGGTTTCGTCAAAAGAATCGTCGGATGTTACAGACGCTCCAAACGTGAGTTTGGGACCGTCGAGACCTAAAATTTCCGATCCGGTTTTGGAGGGAACCACTGCTAAGGAATTACTAGCGGACGGTGCCAATTTGGTACCGACGAGAAAAGCTCCCTCTATTCCTTTGACGAAAGCACCGAACGAAACCACAACAGAAGGATACGATAAGGAGTTGCCGCCTGTTCCCGATGACAGTTTTAAAAATAGACCCATATCTAATTCTGACAAATTAATGGATGAAAAAAAACTATTAAAAGAGCTTAAAGAAAACAAAGAGTATCCAGCATTGACGAAAATTGCCAGCTTGATGAAAAGCGCGTCCATTAATAGATCATCGAGCGTGAATGAGAAAAACAAAGCTAAAATCAAACCGGAAATAAGGAAACTAAAATTCGATAAGGAAAAACTTAAAAATATCGAAATATCGAATCCGATACCTCAAGTTGACTCCGGAGGCGCAGCGGAAAAGGAGACGACAAGTATATCGAGAGCTCAAAGCATGCGAGAACCTAGTCAGCCGAAACCTAATCTACAAAGTTTTGGAAGTATGCGAATTCCCAGTGGAGCCAATCGGCCAACGAGCATACACGTTCACAGTAGACCCACGTCACCGCCTCCGAGGCCGCCTCCTCCGAAAAACTTATCACAGGAGTATTCGTACGACGACTGTCTTAATCTCCTGACGGAAAAGAATGCTCCTCTGGCACAAATGGATAATTCTCCCACGAACAACATTTATGCCGTAATCGAAGACTCTCCGAAGCTGTCGAAAAAATTAGATAATAATGAACGGAAAGTTCATTTCGATGACGGCAGGTACGAAGAGCCTGTGGAATTGGAAAAATCCGAATCCCAGTCTGCGGAAAATAAGAAATCATTTAATAAAGTAGGAACGGGTAGTACGGAATCCATGGGGTTGCTGAGTGAAATAGTATCCGAAATACAAGCAAGAAATTTAGACAGTATTTATTCTTCGGGCACGTTGAAAAAAAAGAAAGAAAAGGAAAAAGGGTCGGAAAATTTCGGAGCGAGTAGTAATTCGAATAATTATTACGGTAACTTATCGAGTAATAAAAATGAACCCAAAAATTCAAATTCCACGGCGAGTTCGGAGTTTAATAACAGCGTGGTGAAAAATATCAATCAACCCAAACCCCCCATGATCTTCAACGATCTTAGCAAGAAAACAGGGAGCGAAGAAACTCCCAAAGTGAACAATACCGATGTAAATACCTACAAGCCTTTTAGCTCATCGTTAATTAGAAACAGTGGTCCATTAGCAAGCAGTTACAAAGACAAATTCGAACCGAAAATGACGACAGCGGATAAAGATTTAAAAAAAGACTTTTTAACTTCGAATAAAGAAGTCGAGCCTTCGATTAGTGGTAATAATAATAATAATAATAATTCGAACACTCCTTCATCGGCGAGTCCATTCGTCAAATCCTCATTTACGCGTCCTTCTCTTCTAAGTACTCCAACCCTACCAAAAACGACTCCTTTGTCGATCACGTCGAATTTTCCGAAAACACCCGAAGAGGATGATGGCGGTACTTCAAAGTCGTCGGTGAAAACGACGAAAACACTTTCGAATTTACCCGGTGGCGGTAACAATAAAAAAACGACTGAAAAAAACAAAAGTACTGATAATTTGAGCGGTGCGACGAAAATGACGTCTTCGAAGCCCAACGTCTTGTCGAGGAAACCATCGCCATCACGTAAAACGACTAGTCTCACGACGGAGAAAGAAGGAACGGTGATGAAACCATTAACGAGACCTCTTCCCTCTATACCGAAACCTTCGGTAAAAACCACGACGGAACCATCGAAAACGTCATCGAGTTCTTCTTTGAACAGGAAAAACAGCAGGGAAAATTTAACGAATAAAATTCCGAACGGAAATAAAAAACAATTCGGAACGGAAAGAAAACCGGAAATAAGTAAAGAAAAACCAGTGCCAAAGAGAAACGTCGCGGCGAACGGGACCGTGAGCGGATTACAAAGTAAATTCGAATCGACCGGAAACGTTAGTTTCGATAATAAAAAAACAGTTCCTCCAGTGACATCAACAAAGTCTAAATTTTCAAACGACAGCAACAGCAACAGCAACAAATCGAGTATTCCATGACATAAGAATTAAACAAATGGGGGTGGGAGGGTAAGGGGGAGGGGGGAATTAAATTTTACCGGGACCAGCGCGTGGTATTGCTCTGTGTGAGTGAATTCGTTCGTTATTAAACACAAACCTATCGTATATTGATAACGTTTTTTTTTTTTTCTATTTAAAAAGAAGAGAAATCGACTGATACGATAAATGAATAATAATAATAATAATTATTATAGTACTCGTTTTAGAGTAAAAAAAAAAAAAAAAAAAAAAAATGGAAATTTTAGAACAATTTTTTAGGTATCGTCGGTGTTATTATAATAAGGTTTCGAATACTTTTCCAATAGTAAAACAGAAATGTAATAATTTTAAGTCATTTCGTTTGTTTGTTTGTTTGTTCTGCACTTACTACAAGGCAATGAGAAAACGTTTATAAAAATTTCCCATTCTTTCCACGACGCCATTTTATTTCTATACCTTATTTGGGGGGGGGAGAGAGAAAACGTATAAACGTTCGCGTTAATATCGTGGCCTTAATTTAAAAAAAAAAAAAAAAAAAGAAAATTAACGACGATTACCTTTTTATCAAAGTTTCCTTATTGCCTGAATCATCTGTGATTTTTTTTAATTTTTTTCTTTTTTATTTAAAAAAAAAAAAAGTTTTAAATATATATATGCGTGTGTGAGTATTTAAAAACTCTATGACATTTTATAAATTATCATTAAAATATTTAATTTGTTTCTAGATTCGTACGGGGAAAAAAAACTTTTATTATTATTATTATTATTATTATTATTATTATTATTATTATTTCACGTAAGATTTTATTATTTAAATAAAAACGAAAAGAAATTAAAAGAAAAAAATTTTTTTTTTGGTTATTTCAACGGTCATTGTTGTTATCAATTGTAAATTATTATTATTATTTAGTTATAGGTAAACGTGTGCGTACGTGCGCGTGTGTACATATATATATAAATAAATATTGTTAAAACGAAACCTCTTTTTAATCGGTATAAAATTAATTAATAAAAAATAAAAAAAAAACTTTGAAATTTTTTTTTTTTTTAAACTAAACTACATGTAAGTGTGTACATGATTGTGACGTAATCAAAATGGCGGAGCAAATTTTTTGTCAAATATTCTTACAAATGGGTAAAAATCAAATATCTTATACATTTTTTTTTTTTTTTTTTCCAAATCGACATTTGCACAATTTTTTTAGTATTATTATTATTATTCGTTTGTTTGTTTTTGTAAAGATTAATGTAAAACATCTCACATATGAGAAAAATAAGAAAAAAAAGTAAAATAATGACACTTACAGTTTTGATGTGTTGTACTTTTACCATGAAATGGTAAAAATTGACAAGTAGTACTCGTTTTACCAGCCGTTGAAATATCAAAATTGTTTTTTTGGTTTCTTCAATTAATAATAAGTTGAGTAATTAATTGTTAATTATAGACAAACATCAATCAAACTGGCATTTCTAAAAGAAAGAAAAAAAAAAATTTATATATGTATATAATTATAATGTAAATCATAATTGGATTGTACAAGGTACAGAAAAATTTTCACTTTTTTTTTTTTGTTATTATCAATAATTTAATATGATGATAAATTAAAATCATCATTAATATATATTTAAATTCAATAAAATTGTTCTGAACCTTTATAAAATATTATTTGTTTTAAAATATTTAATATTCGTTTTTATGATTTTGATTTTTTTTTTACCTTATGTGCCGATAAAATGACTTTAATTTTAATTATTAAGTATTATTTTGAAATAATAAATTTTTATTTAATTATTTAAAGCGTAATTATTTATAATTATTCACCTTTTTCACTATTATTTAAAAAAAAAAAACTCGTATAAAATTTTTTACTTCCCGCACTCACTTAAACAACCGTTAAAATGTTCTCGAAGATTCTCGCGAAATGTTCTTCGAATGAGATTTGTCGTGGCTTTAGACAAACGTTTGACGTTTCATTTTAAAAACAACGTTTACATTTAACAATCCTATATGAAAATAACAAACTTTTTTTTCCTGTAAATAATTGCTAATAAAAGGTTTATTTTTAAGTTTTTGTGGAGTAAGTAAGTAAAATAAGTTTTATATTTGCTTATTTTAATAATTTATTTTCAATTTTAATAACTAAAAAAGGTTTTTTTTTCTAATCGTAAAAAGGGTAATTTTTTTGACAACTACTTTTTAAACTAAGAAAAAACAATTAAATGTCGAAAACTAAAATTCAAAATTTTTGTGAATGTTATAAAAAATTAAGTTTCTATGGTATTCCACAAAGTGAAAACGATAATGAAAATACGGATTACGAAGAAACCAGATTAGAAATCGAATATGGAAATACACTCAAATTTCCTAAAAAAATTAGAATTAATGATAACGTTAGAGAATATCCAAATGTTGAACATGAAGATTTGTCTGATGTTTTCGAGTGAGTTTTTTTAATTATTCACCTAAGGTTTATTGTACTTTATAAAAAATCTTTAGAGTTTTTTTTGTTTTTTGTCATGTTTCAGACAAATGACAAAAATTATTTTCGACATGGAAGATTTTGAAACAAACGTTTTAAGTTTTTGGATTCTCGATATGTTCATCGAAGGATTATGGACGGCACAAAATGCTGGAATGACTCACAAACATCAAAGAGCTACACTTTTATGGATAGCATATTTTTTCAATTACATACAAAGTACTTTCTGTTGTTTTACTATTTCATTTTTTTGTTTTAAACATGTTTCATAATACAAATTTCAAATAAAAAAAAAAATTGTTCTTGCTATCGCAGGAATGAATCCGTCTAGAGATCAAATGTTTGAACATTTAAAAGAATTATTATTTTCTCCTGGAGAATATACTCCGAAAAATTATACAGAAACAATGGCTGCAGAATCAGAAATTTCTTCTTCTGCAATTTATTCAAAGAGTGACGAAGAAAACTTATCTATAAATACACCAGAAACTGAATTTTGGAATTTACCCTTGCCACCATTTTTAGAGGATATAATTTCAGATGAAGGAATTTTTACACCACCACCTTATCGTTAGTTATATAATACAAATAACAAACCAACCTTTTATTTTGGTATTAAGTAAACAAATTTTTTTTTTTTTTTTTTTAGGTGATCCTGATACAAATATTTATGAATATTCAACATCGAATTCTTCTTCTAGTAGTTTAACTATTGCTGAAAAAACGAAAAGGAATATTAGCGACATGAATGTGATTTCAGAAATATTATACAGAATGTAATTATTATCATTTTTCATTCTACAACAAAATTAAAAAAACATTAGTTAATGTTAATATCACAATTTACACAACTTTTTAAAAACAAAAATTATAGATTTGCTAGATTTTGGGTTTACGCGGAAATTCAATCGAGCATGAACGATGTGAGAACTTTAAAATTGGTTCAACTGCCATATGAATTCAACATTCCGAAACATCTTCAAAAGTCTGACACTTATTCATTTGCAAATTATGAAAAGAAACAAATAAAAATTGATAAAACGGGAGAAGAAATTGAAACAGAACAAGAATTGCATAAAAATAATTACATATTACCACTCGAAGTAAAAATAATTAAATATTATTTATTTAATAAATTTTTTTTTTTTTTCGATTTCAAAAAATTGTATTTTTTTTTTTTTTATTCACCTATTTCCTTTTTTTTTAAAGTTTTCTCAAGAGGCAAATTATGCTAAAAAATTAGTTTTTGGAAAATCAGACAAAAAGGGAAAAATTGAAAAAAGAAAAATTTGAGTGGAAATTAAATGAAATTCCAAGTTAAGTAAGTGTCATAACAATTCATGATTTAAATTTTCATACAATATCGAATACCAAGGACCACAAATTAATTTTCTCTTTTGATTATTTATTAAACTGACTTTTGTAAATTTTGTTGTTTTTTCCAAATCTGAATTTATTCCCAATTGTCGATAAACATTCCATCCAGTTCCATACAGGTCTCCATTATCTGAAATATAAATTTTTCATTAGAATAACGATTTGTATGTTAATAAAAATTTTAAGAGGAAATAAACTCACCTATTTTGGCAATGGTATGCCTACTTCCGCAACTCACGTCAACGACTTTTATATTTTCTTCTTCCGTAATAATTTCAACGAAAATTGGCTCTGCTGCCAACGTGATTTCTTCATCATCTTCAAATGTTGCTAATTGTCCATAATTGTTCCATCCCCAACCGCACAAATCTCCAGAATCTGTAATTGCAAATGAATGCCAATTTCCAGCAGCGATATTGATTACTTTTAATCCTTCCAGAGCAGGTATTTGAGAAGGTTGATCAATTGAATTAAGTGTTCCATTTCCCAATTGACCCCTACTTTTAATTTTTGACACGATTATTAAAAACACTCAACTCGAATTCTTTTTTAAAATGTAATTTTAATATTTACCTGCCATTTCCAAAAGAAAGAACACAACCAGATTCTGTTAATATCAATGAATGTTCTAATCCTGATACAACATTAATAGCTTTTTCTGAAATGTTTGAATATATGATTTGTAGTTTATCATCGTTTGATAACGTCCAAACACTTCCATTGCTTAGAAGTAATATAAAACTGTTAAGATCTATTCTGTGTGATATAATACTAACTTTATTATCAATTTCCTTCCATATTTTTTCATTAAATTCATTCATAAAACTCAAATTCAATTTTCTCCATTTTGAATTTTTATAAGTGAATTTCCACAAGTTTAAATTTGAACTCGTGAGAAGGATTTCATCCGAACTGGAAAAACTATCGACAATGACTGGTTTTTTAATAACTACTTCATTTTTCGAATCTAATGATGATAAACCATGTATGACAAAATTTTCTTTTGTTTCAATTATGATAAATCTATGAGTACATTGAACATTATTTATTTTTTCAAATTGAACACAAGTCCAGTTATTTATTATTTTAGATGAGTCTCTGACACTACCACTACTACTACTGGGAAATTGATTGTAACCATTAAATCCGACAAAATGTAATGTAGACATTTATAATGAAAGAAACCTGACTTGGAAAAAAACTGATTGACAGATAAAATAAGTTTGTTTGGCTTTAAATCAATTAAAAAAATTAAAAATAAATGATGACCTTTTTATTTTGCTGTTTGTAATTCATTCGAAAAAACTAAAAAACATAAAAGTAAGTTTTTTAATTGAACACACACAAAAAAATTAGTAAAATTATTTAAAACTGCAATTGGGAATAATAATTACTTTTAAAATATTTTTAAATTTATGAAATTTTTTTGTAAAAAAAAAAAAAAAACTTTGTATTACATAATATAAATATAAAAATGAAATAAGCAAAGTTAATAATTTGATAATTAAAAATTACCCAAACAAAAATTTACATTCCATCATTTGTGTATAAAAATTAACTTTGTTTTTTTTATTATTATCATTAATTAAAATAAAATAAAAGAACTATTTGTTTTAAAAAAAAAAAAAAAAACTGCGGCCAAAATTTTTAGTTAAAAAAAAATTTAGTCCAAGGATCAGCTGATAGAAAAAAAAAAAAAATTTCATTTAACAATTTAACTTATTTAAACAGTTTAGTATATATCCTCGTGATGTTTAACGCGTGAGTGTAATTTTTAATTTTGTTTTTTCATTCGGTAAATTACGATATTACAAATTAATAATATTAAAAACTCAGAAAAACGGAAAAAATTAACGGACGAATTACAAGTGTAACGTTTATTCGTACATTAAAGGTCAAGATGGCGACAATTTTACCTTTTGCCGCGCGGTAAAAAAAATTTGATGTCGAATTTTGAATAATTTGCCGCGACTTACCAATCGAATTTTTTTTTTTTTTTTTTTTTTTTTCGATTATTTATTTTAATTTTTTTTTGTAATTTACGTTTTAATTTGAAATTTTATATTTTATATTTATTTAAAATCAGTTATATAGATATTATGTAATTTGTGATTATTAATGTCGTACGTTAAAGCCGACGGATTACAATAAGTTGTTGAAAAGTTGTGAATTTAAATGATATGTAATCAAGGTCCAGCCTGGGACGAGAAGCTTGTTGACTCCATCTACAAAAAAAAAAAAAAAAAAAAAAAAATTTTTTTTAATATACGGGAAAGTAAAGAAGGAAATTCAAGATGGCAGATGTGAAAGTTAAAATGTTATTATTATTATTTTGACACATTACATTGTTACGTTTTAAAATAATTATTAATTAATAATAATACTGATTAAAAGTGAAATTGTAGTATTTGTACCTCGTTAATTAAATGTTTTAATATTATTATTTTAATAAATAAACAATTTAAAGTTGTGCTATGTGTTATTATAGTTATTAATTTTTATTTTAATAAAAAAAAAAAAACAACAACAAGAACAATATTTTTTTTTGTTAATCGATTTCAATATCGTAATTGGAATTTTTTTTTTATTGTTTTATTTTCCAAAACGGAAAACCAAATGAGTTTAAGAAACCACTATCTGAGAAAACGTTTCAGAATGTGGTTTCAAACGTCTAAAATAGACAATTTAAATTCGAAAGAAGGACTTTTCCTTCGTCTTTACGAAGAATGTAAATTTGCCGATCCTGGAGCGAGATTGAGTTATCATTTGAGAAATAATTTGGGTAAATTACCCGTTAAAGTCCGTAGAGAAATTGCTAGCTTGTCAAAGGATGGTTGTACTCCGTTGTTTATTGCTTGTAAAAGAGGTCTCGTTGAAATTGTGGATTATTTAATAACCGTTTGCAATGTCGATATCGAACAAAGAGGAATGTATGAACTTCCAGATGCTAAAAATGAGCATTATGTTACACCCTTATGGTGTGCTGCTGTTTCTGGAAAACTTCCTGTCACCATGTGTTTAGTTAAATATGGAGCAGATGTGAATGCTGTTTCTGACACAGGTATCAAATTCAATGTTTTTGTCCTTTTTTTTGTTTGTTTGTTTGTTTGTTATAACATTAAACAAAGATAAATTTTTGTTTTTGTCATTTTATATGTTTTATACATGTTTGTCTATCGGTGAGAGTCATGTTTTTTTTATTAACATTCGATTAACAAAAATATTTTATGTATGCTCATGTTTGTCTTATTTACAGTCCACAGATAAACATAAATAATAATAATAATAATGATATATGTATGAATTAAATGTCAAATTAAGGTAAATTTTTAATTGTAAAATGCAGGACAGGATGGGACAGGATAAATTTGTGGGGGAAAAAAAATTCGGTTTTGTTTTGTTTAAAAAAAAATGAAATTTTTATTACTTTGGTGAAAGCACCAGTTACATAATACTTTTGGCTTTTTGCTAAAAAAATTTTATTTTATTACCTGATGATTTGAATGAAATTTTTTTAGGTTCGACTCCTGTTAGAAGCGCTTGTTTTATGACACACCTTGACATAGTTAGCTATCTAGTTGAAAATGGTGCAGATATACAGAGAGGAAATTACAATGGAGGAACATGTCTTATTAATTCAGTTCAAAGTGTTCAATTATGTTTGTATCTTTTACAACATGGTGCTGCTGTCAATGCGAAAGATATTCAAAATAAAACTGCTCTACATTATGCCATACAAGTAGGTATTTTTTTTTAACGTTTCCAATTCTATTTTTACTCATCGATTTATTTTCATATTGCCAAACAAATCCAAAACGGGAACAACTTTTTTTTTTTTGTTCAAAACCTCCCTCACACGGTATTAATAGAAAAAGATTTTTAACGATTCATCATCATCATTATTATTTAATGATTCACGTTTTATTTTTATATGAAGAGAAAAAAAAAAGAAAAAAAATTTTTTTTTTTTTTAATTTCCCATGTTAAATTTTTTATATTTATAGCGAGCCAATTAATATTTAAACTACGCCAATGAGTTTGTTTTATTTGATAATAAATTTTTATTTTTGCCAATAATCTCAAGTTCGTTCGTTCGTTCATTTATTTATTTATTTATTTAATGTTAGGAATATCGTTTTGAAACGTCAAAAGTCCTTCTAGACCACGGAGCGGATCCACACGCGAGAAGCGGATGCAACGATGATGCTCTACAAACGGCGTGTCTTAAAGGAGCCGTGCAAATATTCGATCATCTCATATCTAGAATTTACTATCCACCGGAAAGACTGGCAGATGCTCACGAGCTATTAGGATCGACATTGTTAGACGAACACAATGACCTTCAGGTATTTGTCTCCCGTACCTCGTTGTGCATTGATATGACATGTCGTTGTTTAATCGTTTTAATTACAAATTAGGCAGCTCTTAGTCATTGGAAAATAGCAACAGCCATAAGGCAAATGTCCGTTCCGCCGTTGGAAAAACTTCCGTTGATGCCACCGAGGCCGGCGTTTAAATTTGCTAAAGAATTCAAAACGGAAACGGAATTGAGAAATTTATCATTCGATTTGGACGAACTCCGAACTCAAAGCCTTCTCATATGCGAAAGAGTTTTAGGGCCACATCATAAGAATTCCCTATTTAGACTTATGTACCGGGGGGCAGCCTATGCCGACGCATTGAGATATCAAAGATGTATCGATTTGTGGCGAAGAGCTTTGGAAATTAGGGTTAAAAAAGATTCGGTGATTATCATTATCATTATCATTATCATTATGCTTTCGATTTATTATTAACTTTGGAAAATTTAAATTTATTTCAGATATTATTCAATGACACGTGCTTCACGACTCAAGCTTTAGTTTGTCTTTACGTAGGTTTAAAATGTTTAAATTCGAACGCGGCTGAAAACAGGGGGATATCATTACACGAAGGACCGAGGTTCGAAGACATAGCTCAAACGTTTAAATTATTAGCCGATGAGTTACCCGCTTCGAGACGGTTGTTAGAAGTAAGGAAGAGGAAAAAACCGCTGTCTGCTTTCTAAAACGAAAGGGATTATATCAATCATATTCATTTTCTTTCCAGATTCATCCCGTTCACAAAAAACAACAGGAAACATTCGATAGAATTCTCAGATGCGTGACGCATTTGATTTACCTCCTCGTCGAGACGGCAAAAACGGAAGAAGAAAAATGGACGGTTAAAAATTTAGTGACGAAATTATTACAAACGAAACCCAGGAGCGCCATACACGGTGACACGTTGCTACACTTATGCGTATCGAGACTGAACACAATTAAGGGTACCTATTTTTCGGATGATAGTCAGGTGAGTGGCATACAGGCACGCACACGCACACGCACGCGCACGCGAGGAGAAGAATTAATTTTAATTTGTTTTTTTTTTTTTTTTTTTTTTTCCAGTTAATATTTCCTAATTTAGATGTGATCAAATTACTATTGGAATGTGGTGCTCCGGTAAACGCCATCAATCAGTCTCATTCTACTCCTCTTCACATAGCCGCAAATACGTATAATTTTTGTGCACCCGTGAGTTTTTTTTCTTCTCTTAAAGTTGGGTGTGTGTGCGTGCGTGCACGTGCAAATTGTATTTTCATTCGTTTTTTTCCAGATGGTCGAACTCCTTTTGGAAAACGGCGGTCATTTGGATCAGCCCAATTGCAAGGGAGAATGTCCAAAGTCCATGTTAACTAAAAACCAAACCGGTCTTTACTTGATCAAATACGTGAGTCTGAAGTGTCTCGCGGCGACCGTAGTCATACGTCATAACATTTCGTTCAAGGGTAACGTTCCGGCCACGTTAGAAACGTTTCTAGCATTTCATCAACCCTAAAACCGTGAGCGTGCGTATGTATGGATACGAACACCCCCGCACACCCTCACACATCAGATGAAGAAGAAGAAGAGATGATGATAATAATAATGAAATTTTTATCGACTAAAAACAACACTTTGATGCTTGCCTTTGAGAAAATTTTTTTTCGGACGACGCGAGGTTCTGTGGGAAAAATCTAGAAAATGATAAATGTGGATCGTTTGCAATCATTTCCCCCTCTCCCCTTCCCCCCTATTTCCCCCCAACCCAATGAAATGATTGCAGTTTAAATAAAACATATTGAAATACGAAAAAAAAATTATTTTTCAAAAAAATATATAGTTATATATACTATTGATTCAGGTTTAAAAATAACGATTTATTTATTATGATTTTTTTTATCAATTAGCGATTATTAGAATGAATAAATACAATGCAATAAATAATAATAATGATGATAATAATGTCTTATTATGCGTAATGCGTAATGCGTACACGTTTCAATAAAGAAAATTATCAATAATAATAATAAAAAAAAAAAAAAAAAATGACTTACCGCGCCATTGTTATTACTCAAGTCAAGGTCACGAAGGACGAGATTTTTATTTTTTCCAATATGGCGGTGACAAAAAAAAAAATAGAAATAAATAATTGTTTTAAAAGTGATTTGTGGGTTAAATATAAAGTTAATAAATAATAAATAATGTTAATAATAATTCAATTTAATTGTTATATATATAAAACTACGAGTAAATTATTTTATAAAATTGACAAAAAGAAAAAGAAATGGAAAAGAATTAAAATTTGAAAAAAAAAAAAATTTTGTTTGTTGTTTGTTCGAATCGTTCATTTTGTATACCTGTCTAATAATAGTTTTTTTCGAATTAATAACGGTTATGTAAAAAAAAAAAAAAAAACAGTTATGTTTTAAAGGTAAGGTCATTGTCATTACAACTTATTCCTTCTTATAATTTCTTGCATCACAATCGAGTTTGTTGTTTGTTGTTGTTGTACCATAACTTAAAATTTAATTATTTCGTTTGTTACTACTCATCGTTGATTGTATATTATTTAATAAGATTTAAAGATTAAAAAAAAACGTAAAACAACAAAATTTTTAAGTAAAGACAACCGTCGCGAAAAACATTTTTGAATTCCGTTCGAAACCGTTAAATTTAAAAAAAAAAAATTTTTCCCTTTTCCCCGTTTGTAAAATGATCACATATGCCATTGTTGCATTAAAATCACTCCCGACAACTTCCGCTCATTCTCGTTATACAAAAAAATGTGAACCGTTTAAACTGACGTGAGAGGAGAATCCACGTGAATTTCTTATTCATCTCCTTCTTCTTAGAATTAATGTAACCGGCAAGTTAGAGTGTCGTGTCGAATTCGTAAATTATATTTCCAAAGACCGATCAGTTGTCCACGTCAGTTCAAACGTATAACAATATCATATTCGAAAAGATTAATTTAAAACGTAACGGTTTTTTTTATTATTTAATTTAATTTAATTTCTTTTTTTTTAGTTTTGTGTTGTAAAAAAACAAAAAATTGATTAATTACACGAAATTATTATTATTATTATTAATTTATTTTTAAAAGGATTTTCTCTCTCTTTTTTTCTATTTTTTGAATAATAATAATAATTTTCGAATGGATGACGGTTAATTTTAAAAAAAAGGCAAATTGTTCGTTTAAATGAATGCAGAATTATAAAGATTAAATTTTACTTTTTATTTTAGTTAACGGTTAAAATTTTTATATTAAACGAAAGTAAAATTATTAAAATTTTGTGTTTTTATAAATGTAAATTAATTAAAATAAAATAAAAAAAATTTTTTTTACATGTTTTTAGAGTTTTACATATAGAGAAAGGAAAAAGAAAGATGGCGTCCGAACAGAAAAGGATTAAATTATCAAGTTATTTCACAACCATTACCATTATATTAATCATATTAGTTGAAAATGTAAATTCGGAAAAAGATGACGAGGGTTCTTTTTTCGACATGGCACAATCGTTACTCGAAGAATCAGTTCGGAACCAAAATGGTGGCGGATCAGGTATTGAGTAGAAAAAAAAAAAAAAAAAAAAAACTTAATTTCAAATTTTCACGTTTCGTTGAATTCGATAATATCACGCAATAGTAATAATAATAATAATAATGTAATAACGACTCATTTTAAAGTGAAATTTCCTCCCCCCCCCCTCATTTCTTCCTACTAACAACTCCAATTAGTTAATTAAAAAAGAAAAAAAAAAAGGAAAAAAAAATGACAAACGAATTATTATTATAACTCAGGTACAAAATATCATTTCATAGAATCTCTACCTTGCTACTACTACTACTACTACTATTATTATTTCAGGTTTTGGGTCAACGTCCTGATCCTATATTGATATGATACTTGAGTTAAGTCAAGATTACCAACAACCACCACCACCACTTCTTCTTCTACTTGTTTTTCCAGTGATTTTTTTTTCCTTCTCCTCATTATTATTATTATTAACCTTGTAATTAAAAAAATTTTTTTTTGTTACAAAGTAATATTATTATTATTATTACTATTTTTGTTTAAACCTGTTTTATAATAGATTGAAATGTTTGTTTTTGTTTGTTTTTTTTTTTTTTAAGGTGCAAACCTTTTGGGTGGACTCTTACAAGGTTTCATGCAATCAGAAGGTGGAAAACAATTAGGTAATATATTATCACAAGGAGGAGGAGGTGGTGGTGGTGGTGGTGCAGCCGATATTATTTCCAGTAAGTTTTTTATTCGTTTGAATCGTTATAAAACCCGGAAGTAGTAGTAGTAATAATAATAATGATGATTTTTTAGGTTTAGCAACGGCTTGGCAATCATCAAAATTAAATTACAGATCATCATCATCATCATCGGATGAACAGAATAATTTAAATATAGATCCATCAATACTAGGTTCTATGGTTGATTTATTTTCAACCCTGAATAAAGTAACAAACGACGGGGATGATGATGATAATAATAATAATAATTATTTGGATAACGATTATAAAAATGTTAAAATGAAAAATAAAAAAAAACAAAAAACGGTGGATAATTGGGATAACATTTTGTCATTCGCCGGTACATTTAAAGTAAATTTACTCCGAGATTTAACATAAACGAAAAAATATATTTATATTTAAATTCGATTTCTTTTTTGATTTTCGTAGGTAATTTAATAGCGACGTCCATGTCTAATACGAATAATAATAATAATAATAGAAACGAAGACGGAACTTCCGGTTCCCTGGAATCATTTTTAAATTTTCTACCCGTCATAGTGAATTCGATAACGGGATCTCACAACGCTCACTTGTTTCATTCTCTACCTCATCACACTCACCCGGAATTTTTACCACCGTTTTTGGAAAATCTACACGAGTATTGGGATTATTTTATAAATAGCGATTTCGGGAAAAACATATGGGAAAATTCTGGACTCTCACACTTGTTGAAGAGTTTTCAAGATGGAACCGGACAGATAAATGGGAAAAAAGTCATTGAAAGTTTAGAAAATAATAGTTTCAGGCGGAAATGGATAAAGAGCACGTCTAAATTTATTGCTCAATGGTTGAAACATTTTACTAATCCCGACATACAGCGAAGGTAAAGAGAAAAAAAAAAAAGGAAAAAGTTTAAACCGTCGCGCTTCATAAATTTTATTTTTATCTCGATGTAATCTTTGTTATTTTTCTCTTTTGTTTTAGTTATTTAGAAACTGCGCAAATGATTAGTAACAGTTTATTAAAATCTCAAGGATATCCAAAAGAAACATTTATTGATTGGAACGAACCTGGGAAATCGATAAGTTCGTTGGTGGACGAAGTCGTAAAAAGAAGATTCGATTTTCAAATACGTTCGGAAACTTACGTCGTACCCCTCGTCGGATACGTTCAGGTACTTTTGACGATGACGACGTCAAAATTATTTCCGTTTCCGGATAATGTACTCATTAAGAAAATTCATTTCCAGGAATTATTTAAATCCGGTCAAAAATCCGGTTTGGGATTATTCAAATCCTCTACGGCGGATATCGAATCGAAATTATCGGAAACTTTCGATTCTGACGTCATAGAACCATTATTGAGAGTTAATAGAGCTTATGATTTCGCGCGGAAAAAACCGGAATGTTCGAAATACGTCATTTGCGTCGTTAATCAAAACGATAATAATAATAATAATAATAATAAAAACGGTTTGAAACCGGGCATAACAAAATTGGTCAGGTGAGAAACACGATTATTTATTATCGAATCTCGAAACGATCGATAAATCGAATCAATCAACCGTCATTTCAAAGTAATAAAAAAAATTTTTGTTTTTTGTTTACAGTTTGGGTGCCTCGTGGTTTTTATCGACGAATCAAAATATATTATTTTGGGATTTGTACAATGCTGCCGCTGATGCTGCAGCCACGCGATCCTGTTCGAAATATAATAAAAATTGTCAGGATTTCGATTTCCAAGATATAAAAGCCACGACCGAATATTACAGACACAACGAATTGTAAACCTGGTATGGACAACCTGTAAATTGGGAACCTCCTCCTCATCCTCTTCCTCGTCATCATCCCCGTCATCATCTTATCATCATCAACATTATTATTATTATCATTTTCAACCTACGTCACTGTGATTTCGTTTTACGCTCAAAAATTTAATTAATTAATTAATTCAAATAAATTTTTCCTCTTTTAATTATTATTATTATTATTATCGCTGTTGTAATTTTTAATAAGTTATTATTATTATTAATATTTATTAATTAATTTAATTACACGTGTTAATATATTAAAAAAAAAAAAACGATTTGTATAATATATATATATATAAATATATTTTCCGATTTTTTGTAAATTAAAAATAAAATTTTTTTATTTATTTAAACATATTTATATATAAATAATAATAATAATAATAAATACAAACAACAAACAATGGAAACGACAACAAAAAAATTTTGCCTCGAGTCAAACCTACGTAACCTTACCATTATTATTATTATTATTATGGGAGTAAAAATTCTGGATGTAATAAATAATAATAATAATAATACTGTCTATTCGAACAAAAATTTCAATACTTTCTCTCTCTCTCTCTCTCTCTCTTTCTATCTTATTAAATTTAAATACTGCGATTATTGTGTATACGTAAAGCTCGTGTCGTAAACGATTTATAAATATGTACAAAAGGGGGAGGGGTGGGGGGCGAAAGGGGGCGGGGCGTATAAATATATATATGCGTACTTACATTTGTACAGTTATTATCATTATTCTCATCGTGGGAAGAAGAATCTCAATTTTTATTCGGCGTCGGAGTGGTGCAAGTCCGAGAATCCGGTCTCATCGTGTCGAATCCTGGATGGGAGGATTTGTTCCAGGCGAGAGGAGTGCTCGGTACGCTCGCGGATTTAACGATTCTGTCGTAATTATCCGGAAGATTGTAATAATCCGCTTCTCTTTGTTTGACCGGAAGCGGCGGCGGCATTTGATCTTCTTCGCTCGTCGTCGATTCCGTCGTACCTGAATAATAATAATAATAATAATAATAATGATATAGAACGGGATCACGCAGGGAAGAAAAAAACTTTTTTTTAATTGAACGTACCTGTGGAGTCGCGATTGCTGCTTTGGAGTGACGCCTGAGACAACCTGCTCGTTATCGATAGGGCTTGAGTTAATTTTCCGACGGAAAATTGTCCGCTCGTCGGTCGACTCAACCTTTTTTCTTTTTCAACTTCCGAACGAAGAGGTCGCTTCGGAGTCAACTAAAGGAGTCAAACAAAAAAAAAAAAGAATTAAATTTGAATTAAAAAAAAAATTGACAACGGACAACAACAACAACAACAACAACCACCTCTTGTCTCAATTCGAAAACTGGAGTCACGTTTCCTGGAGAATGAACCATGGAAATGTCAGGTGCAACCGTATACCACTGACTATTAGAATATTCTTTGCTCACGTGATTCGATCCCAACGACGATGACTCCTTATTTGAATTTTTCGATTTTCTTTTTTCTTTTCCTTTTTCTTTAGTTCTTAAAGTTGCCGTCGGGAGTGATGGCGTTTTAATGTTTATCAAAGTTTTCAGTGAAGACGATCCGACGCTCGAACTGGAAAAGGAAAACGATTTTTTTTTTTTTTTTACACAAAAAGTCAAACTTTGACGCCATTTTGACGATGATGTCAATCTTACTCGGATGGTGCGAGACTAACGACGCTGTTTCTCGAATGAAATGAATAATTTAATGGCGTGCTCGTACGTTTTCTCACTGGAGAATTTAATAAATCGAGTCTTATGTCGCATTCCTGGAAGGGGAGAAAATCAAAAAAATAAAAGAAAAATCCGGAGGGATTTTGTGTGCGTGTGTGTGTGGGGGGTGGGTGAGTGGGATCATACCTGTTTCCCGTATTTCGTTTCGACGTGAGTTTCCATATCCGCATAACATTCTTCCAGTCTCGTGTGAAAGGGTAAGAGAGAAGGTGGAGCTCTTTCCTTATGAATTTTAATACCTATTTTGAGCAAAGGGATTTGTTCGGCAATGACTCGTTTCAACGTCGCTATGAGTTTGACGTCATCCGGATGTCCCGTTTCGTATTCGGGAGTGAAAAACGCCTGAAATTTTTCATTTATTCGTTACTCTCTTATATCATTATCATTATCATTATCAAAGATTCACAACATACCTTTTCGTAATTTGCAATGCCACCCATGACGGCAGCATCGACGATTCCGTGAAGTTTCATGGAAAGAGGATGAAGTGGGAGAGTGTGATCCGCATCGTAGCTAATAATCAATTCTCGAAGCGAACCATTTGTCGATTTCATCGTTTCTATCGCGGTTTCGATGGGTGACATCTAATGAGAGAACAGGAGAAAAAATCAATTTTAAAGTAGTTGCGAGGGGGGGGGTGTGTGTGTGTGGTTGAAAACTTCATCCGACCGACGCAAGTCTGAACGTACCCTGAAAGTATTGGAAGTGGTGACGGGAAAACACATGAGAATCCCGGGCAAAGGATAACTCGTCACCATGACGGTTCTTTCCAACCACAAATTACCAAATTCGTTGTCTTTTTCATTTCCGTTCGGATAAATGGGCCTTGAAAATTGAAATTTTTGAACGTCGTTCACTCTGTGATATTTTAATATTTGATCAGGTACTCGTTTACCCACGAATTTACTCTTTCTCTCGTCCATCACGGGATCTACCTTATTTATTTGAACATCTGAAAGGTGTGACAGAAAAGAAAAATTAACCGGGATTTCTACGACGTGTACGCATGCGCAATAAAAAAAAAAAAAAAAAAAAATTTACATTGTCCCGACGATTCCAATATCTCATGTCCCGGTGGTTCCAACTTATTCATCAATTCTGCATTTGGAAGATGATTCATCATTCTCCCACTAAAATCCGTCAGTCTTTCATATTCTTTACCTCGATAAATAAAAACCTGAAAACGAAACGACGAATATATTTTTACAAGAGAACAAAAGACAACAACAAACCTATAATAATAAACAACAAACTTTATTTTGCAAATGAACCGGAAATCCTCTTCCGTAAAACGCAACTCTAAAATATTCAGGTTCCGGCCTGATTTGATTCATTATGCAATTGTAAAACCTCGCGATCGTCGTGTGAAGAATGCTCAGCTGACGATAATCGAATAAATATTCTTCGTATTGTTCTTTGAGTTCGTTGCAAAGGGTCAACGCGCACTCCCACATCTTAAAAAAAAAAAATTTCGTTAGAAACTTATTTCTTCTCCCCACGAGTGACATTTCCACGCACCCCCGCGCACACAGAACAACCCTTACTTTTCCCTTGTCGAAATATTTAATGCTATCGTTATATAGAGCTTCTTTGAGTTCCAAATGAGTTTGACACGAGGGATGCTTGTGAGATTTCAAATGAGGGCTCAAAATTTCTTCGCTCCAATTGAGCAAAGATGAATGAAGTTTCAACGTGAACGCAGCTTCCGTGTAATTATCACATTCCAAATGCAATTCGCAAAGTTTGTTGACGTAACGTATGTACATTTCCTTCCGGTTTATTTCACTGTAGAAATCCTGAAAAATTTAAATTTTTTTTTTTTTACAAAATTTTTCCTTTCTTCTTCCACGACGTGTCGTTTTTTTTTTTTTTTGTCACCCTCACCAATAAATTAACGGTGCAACTCATACGATTTTCCTTGTTTTCATCCGTGATTATCGACCTGTACTCCAGAAGTCTTTCCATGAGTCTCGACACGGTTTTGACGAATTTAACACCCTGAGTTTTAAACGACGAATGTTGTTCGCACAAACTAAGCATTATGGATTTAAATAAGGATTTGTATTCTTCGTCACCGCAATTCCCTTCGAACAGTATGTCCAACTTGAATATCATTTCGTTTTCAAACTGTAAAAAAAATAAAATTGTGATAAGATAAATTTTTCAAGACGCATCTCCTGGCGCCCCGACAACAGGAAAAATATAAACGTGAATCATTCCATCTCTCTCTCTCTCTCTCTCTTTCTCACTGTCTCTCTTTCGAAAGAAAATCAAACCTCTGAAAAATTTCCCTTTATTGACGTCGAATCCCTTTTCGTGAATGAAACGTCGCATGAATTTTTCGAACTGTAAAATTCGCATTGCATCATGTCGAAAAAAATAGGTATGGTCGCACGTCGGAGTTCAGGTTCGGGAACGAGAGTCATTTCTAATATGGCACCCACGAGACCGGGAACGAATTGAACTTTGAATTGTCCTGAAAAAATAAAAAAAAATCAAATCAATCCAACTTTAAAAAAAAAAAAATAAAATTCCAAACAAACAATAACGACAAACCTAAATTAAACCACATGCTCCTTATTTCGAAACCCGTTTCTCTCCTCATGTCGTTATACCTGGAAACGATCCTAGCTTTTTTATTCACCGAAAACGATTCCAATTGCAAAGCAGGTTGCGTTAAAAAGGAAATGGCGCAGTGAAAAAAATTATTCCATGCCTGATGTTCGAACGGATTGAAAAAATAATCTCGAATCGTGTGAGAAAAAAAACGGAGGCTTTTGAGTATGACGCTAAAAACAAAAAGAGCACGTTCGTGAGGCAAAACAAAAAGCTCATTCTGCCACGTGCACGCACACGCACACACGCATCCACACGCACCTGTTTTGTAGCATTATCATTTCGCACCAATCTTTTGGAAAAACCGGACGTGAGACTAGATCGTTAAAGACCAACAGGATTTCCATTAGAAAATCCAACCTGTCGTAAATCGTTTGAAAATGAGTGACGTAAACTTCGAAATGATGAGCCGTCATTTGACGAAATATCGCGATCATTATCACGACCAACGGTGCCTGGAAAAAGAAAATTTTTTTTTATTAGATAACGTTCAGCTGGATTTTCCGGGAAAAAAATAATTAATTTTCGTTTACTCACGACAGACGAATTTTCCCGATCCATACCGATTGATGTTTGTATGACCGTTCTGAGTACCGTGAGCATGATTTCCGTCACGTCGTGAATTGTCGCTCCGACGTCGTTTCTAAACAACAGCTCCATTATATCGCTCAAAACTTTCACGCATAAATCGATCTGAGAGGAAAATTTTACAAAAAAAAGTTTAACAACGAATCAAAGTGAAAAAAAAAAGGCGCAAAAGGCACAAAAGGCATCGTAAACGTGTAATTTGTTAACCATTCGCAACATGCAAGGATAATTATTAATTTCATTAAAACATTACAACTTCCGGTTTGTTCGACACGATCAACAGTTTTTAATAACATTTCATGCACACGATTAGCATCCAACGAATTAATAATAATAATAATAATAATAATGATGATGATAAACTCGCAAGATCGGCGGTAGCGGTGATGAACAATTATTTGCGACGCAAAGAAATTTTTTTTTTTGATTGTCGTAAACAACGACAAACTTCGTTCAAAACTTGAAAAAGGCACAAGTAACAAAGCTAAAAAAGCATTCTTTTTAATTATTAACAAACTTGCTATTATTATTATTATTATTTAAGTAGAACAACAACACAAAAACAAACGATGCTTGATTTTTCTAACATTTTTTTTGTTTTTTTCATCCTAAGCCTAAAACATAAGAAAAGTTTTATTAAAAGCACAAGACATAATAATTTTTGTTACAAACAAACACATACAGCACATAGTTCAGCACAACAACAACAACAAACAGAAACACAAACACAAACAAAAATCGAGTCAACAAAAGTGATATAAGTAAAAGCAAAGAGAACATATAAAAAAAAATGAAAAATTTTTTTAAAACGGTTTTAGGGTAAATAATTATTATTATTATTATTACAGCGAAGCGATTTTACGCGTACCTCGGAATCGCGGGTATGAGGAGGGACTCTCATTAACTTGGCTCCGGAGTCACCTAAAACTCTAGACAGTTTCTCTGCGGATTTTGTCTGTTGCTTGTAGCTAGCACTGGTCCTCCCCTGACGTGTAAACAAAATCGTACAAAAAAAGAACATTGCTCATTTAAAAAATGACAAAAGCACTCTAGCGAAGAAGACAGATAGACACGCACGCACGCACGCACACGCACGCACACACACACAAAATAATAATAATAACAACAAGAATAAAAAATCAATTTTTTTTTGGTTTCTCTCTCTCTCACCCTCCCTCTTTTTTTTTTTTTTTTTTTTTTTTTTTACGGACTTTAAAGACAGTTAACGTAAGAAAAACCAAAATAATAATAATAATGATAATAATTTGCACGACAGTACAAACAAAGAAAAACACGAACACAATATAAGCTAGCCGTGTGTGGGTGTGTTCTACGATAATTTTTAAAAACCTAAAAAAAAAAACAAAATTACAACACCTAAATATTTTTTAATTAAACAAACATCTTCTACTTGTACACCACGACACACAAAACTCGTACAAGGTACGTCGTACCTACCTTAAACCTATCGCGGTGCGAAAACAAAAAAAAGAAAACATGTACGTGTACAAATACAAATGGTTTTCCCAAACTGTTTCCCCCCGGAAATGAACGATAATAATACTGACCTCATCGTTCGTTTCCAAAAGTTTTTTTATTAATTTTGTCACGGCAGGAAGCAACAGACCTCTCGCGACAGGTATGAGGAACAAGGGTCCTTTGACGATTTCGTTGACGGACATCAATTTCTGATGAGCCAATCTCTGAGTTGGAATTTTTTGCACGAGTTCCGCGAGTATCAAACTAAAATAAAGGATTGATTACTCTCGACCTTCGTTTCGAGGACAAGAAGAAGAAGAACAACAAAGAGACAATCGTGGTTCAAAAGGATGTAGGAATAGCCGAGGAATCATTATGGATGGAAATGTTCTGGAAAAAAAAGAAAAACCGACAAAAGGAAATGAAACGACGGTTAGGAATAATAATGATGATGACGATGATGATAAATGGTAATCTACCTTAAATCGCTAACGTTAAAAACTTTTATCAAATCGGGTATTATTGAAGGTATGTGCTTGAGACAGGCTCCCTGTACCAAAACGAGTAATGCCGGATCTTGATTTCCTGCTTCTTGACTCATTAATTTCACTATTGCGTTAAGTAACGATTTTAATTGAGTTTCGAATTCTTCTTGGCCTCGTCCAACGTTTAAACTACAAGAATAAAGACAATTTTTTTTTTTTTTCTTTCAAGTTGCATTTTTTTTAGGTTCAATTGCGTCAAAAACTATAAACCTACTCTGAAAATAAGAGTCTGGATCGTACAATAAATCGAAACAGGTACTCTAAACTTTTCATTATGTTAAGATAAAAATCTTTGTCCGATTCTTTCACGTTTGCACTTTCTATGTAAGACCTCAACACGACGATTAGTTTATTGTACGCGAGTGTGGCACAAAAACTCTCCTGGATGTAAACGTCCAAAACCGGTCCGAAATGCTGGTATTGTCGCTCGTTGACAAGCCTAATTATATGTAACTGAAAAAGAAGAAGAAGAAGAAGCAGAAGAAAGTATTAATTTCTACAAAGTTACAAAAAAAACAAATTTAAACTTTAGTTAAATCTACGAACGATGCATTTAAAGACTAGATCATCGTACAAATCGGAATCCGAATTTTGCATTAATATATTGAATAAAGCATCGAGAACATCTTGCAGGTATTTGACGACTTCACCTCCGCTAACGTTTCTAAAAGCCGTTAAACTGTGTCGCAAACCTTCAGGTTTACAAGACCAATTGAGCAATCCCAAAAGTTCAACTGAAATTTCAAACGCAATTCTATCGAGTTGTTTTCTATTGTGATTGCGTGCAAAATAAAAATGGCAAAACATCGACTAACCATTTTGAGTGAGTTTCGTGGAACAAACGTTTGTCGTTATGAAAAAAAAATCTTTGTTGGAAAAATTCAATCCCGAACATGAATTTTTATCGATTTTTTCATCCGGACGAGTCCACGGCAACGACAAATAACCAATGTCGGTCTCGTCGAATTTTTTATGATCGATTTTATACACGCAAAGCGTGTGTTTCGTGTCAGGTATGGTCGTTCCATTTTCCTGCATCAATTTCATAAACGACATGGCAAAAGGTTTCTCGGATTTGTCTTTCGTTTCGTTCGAAGATCTAAAAAGGATTAAAGTAAGAAAAAAAGTACTTATTATTATTATTATGCCTACGTACTTATTATTATTATCATGATCCATTTTTTTTTTTTTTTTTTCTGGTCACCTGTGCTTAAAAGTAAATTTTATGTGACTGCTTTTGAATTCTTCTATCGGTACTGCCACTTTGAATATTTCGTTCCACTTTGGCTTGTCGTCGTGGTAATAGATAACGGATTTGAATTCGTTAAGGGGTTCTACACCGCCACCCATATAAATAACACCCTGCGTTTAATAAAAAAAAAGAGAAAAAAAAATGGGAAAATTGTCGTTTGTTTGTTTTTCCCAATCCGTTTTTTCACTCACCGGAATAATTTGTCCCTTTTCGTTGCAAACCGTAACGGTAACTTGTATGTTTTTATCCGTATTTTTAACACCCTTGCTAAAATCTCCACTCACCAGAGTCAAATATAAATCATTTCGTACATCACCGGGTAAAATAACTTCTGGAAATCCCATTTTTCTCGCTATGGCCACGTTACCCAAAACTAAATGAGGATTTTCTTCACTGACCTATAACAATCAATTCGCAACATGAACAAAAAAAAAAAAAAAAAAAAAGAAAATATTTCCATGATACTTTGAGTCGAACTCCTCATCTCACCTGTTTTAAATCTCCGTGTAAAACTTTTAGCGAAACCCATAAACCTTGACCTTTATGATCTTTTTGAGTGACATCTTTGTTGTAAAGAGCTCTTTTAAATGTTTGCTCTAAACTTTCTTTTTCGCACCTGAAAATGTTGATTAAGAATAATATCAAAATAAAAAAAATTCAAATGGAAATAATTATCAATTATAAAAACTTTTATAACTAACGGAAAAAAAGGAATAAAATTATCTGTGTCTTCATTGCCTTCAATTTTACCAGAAAGATATAGCGTTATGTCCATGGCAGCCACTCCAAAGGGTCGCCTCATGCAATCGGAACCTAAACTATATGATTTTTTATTGTTTATGTGAGAGCTTTTTCGCAAATTATCTTTTTCCGTTTCCTTATATTCCATAGCTCCTAATCTAATCACTTGACAAACTAAATAAACTTTTTCCTTTTCTAAATCTCTACTTCCAAGATCCTATTTATATAAATATTAAAATTTTATTAATTTTCTAAATTTTAACGATAGTCATTTGAATTTTTTGTGGTTTTTACCGTGAATAAAACACGCAAGGAATGAAGTTGATTTATATCCCTTACAAAACCTTCTTTGCTCCATCGAACAACATAATTTTCAGTAAAAGGAACTGTCCCATCGCTCAAACACATTAATAATTCTGCATCTTCGTTTATTTTACACACAAAATTTCGAACACATAAAAACAATGTGTGCGAATATTGATTATTGATTATTTGAGGTTTCGACCGTCTGTGAGTTTCTTCAAACTGCAATAAATAAATAATTAATTTAAAATTAAAATATTTGAAAAAATTAAATTTATCTCGAGTGTACTGCCATTTACCTCTGCTCTTTTTATATTTTCTGTCGCTCTTTGATGTTTCCAATATAGACTAACGGTTGATGTTGTGTCGGGATTTAAAATATTACATTCATCGTCTCTAACAACCATGTCAAGTCCCAAAATGCTACAGGGGAAATAAAACTGTGTTTTTGAATAGTCTGGTTAATCATTTTTGATGTAGAAAATATCAAAGTACTTACTGGTTACCAAAATCTATCCTGGCAGCGACTTTTCTTTTCATTTTTTTCATTTCATCTACGGGTAATGCACCGGAGAGAATTTCGCTTCGAAACCTGACCAATTCATAAATTCTTCTTTCAATATCTTTAACTTTTTTATTATTTTTCTAAAATAATAATTTCATTTTATTTTTGTTAAATTAAACACTTTTTTAAACACTCATAAACATACCACATAGAGGTCTTTAAGTATTGTCCCCCATTCTCTGACAACTGTTGTTATTTCTTGAACAATCGGTTGTTGTATGTCTTTTATCTTTTTGATTTTTATATATGACTTTGGAAATATTCCTTTTAAATTTTTGTTTTTTTGTGCACATCCTAAATACCAATCCCCTAACTCTTGTTGTAAAATCAATGTGTCTCCCACATGAAGTGAAAGGTGTTTCTCTTTTGTTTCCAAATAATTGTGAATGGCTGCAAAAAATAAAATATTTAATAATTAATCTGAAAAATTAAAAATTTTTTTTTCGATACCCAATCAGAATTAAGGTTGCAGATTAATATTTTTTAAAATGTGTTTTTTGTGAAAAAATAAAAAAATTACAATTATTGTTAATTGGGTTATAATCAAAGGAAGTAAAATATAACATATCTAAACCACATCCTGTTATAAGGTTAAAAACCTTAAAAAAAAAAAAACTTGTAGAAATTTATCATTTGTTTGAGAAAAATTTACAATATAAATATTATAATAGATGATTGTTGTTACTACATTCGATGATAAAGAGGGCAGTTTAAATTATTAGATTGGCTAACAGTTAATTTATGTGAAGGGGGAAGAGAAAATGGTTTAAATTACAATGGATTTTTTAATAAACACTTACTTCATTATTTCACAGATTTAAATTTTTATGATTTTATATAGAAAAATACATAGTTCAGCTTTTTCATTTTTGTAATATAATATTATTAGTCACTTATGGAATTTCGAACACTTATACGATACGTTTTATTACCGAATGAAATAAAAAAATTGAATAATAATAAATCGTAATGAATATAAATGAAAAATAATTTATAAAATTTTTACTTTGAATTGAAATATAATTAAATCGATGACAACATTTTATAAATTAATTATTAAGTTAGATAAAAAAAAATTTTAACGACACACCCCTAAGACAGTGATCAACCTGTTGAACGTCCAACGAACGCAAAGAAAACAAAGAATATTTTATGCATTATTTAAAATTTAATTTTTAAAAAAAAATACTTACCGACACCGTAACGCTCGTCTTCCTTTAAAGTTTGCCATTTCATTTTAACAAATATTTATTTTATTTTAATTTAATTCACAACATCGAGTATGAGATAAAATTAATGCGCTAGAAACACAAAACAAATAAAACGACATGATCATCAAAAATTGAACTGAAATCTTTCACTAAATACACTTTAAAAATCCTGCCACGACTTTTCGTGGAGGGAACGTTTTCCTTTACGAATCTTTATAACGATTTTTTTCGGCCATTTTAAACGAAAGATATTTAATTTTTTGTTTGAAAGTAAATTACTTAAAAATTATTCGTTTTTCAAAAAAAAAAAAATCGAATCAATTATAATTTATAATTAGTAATATTTTTATTACGAATTAATTTTTTAAATAAATAAATAATTTTTTGTTAAAATTATGTAATAATTTTGTGACAATTCACTGCATCATATTTAATTATTAAAGCATGTTAAATTCCAACACTTTTCTTAAGCGTTATTTAATTTAAATTATAATTTTTTTTTTTAAATTCGCGTTAAAATAATTTCCGGTTTTGAATTATATTTTAAATTTGCCCAATCTGGTATTTCACCCTTGATTTTATATTCTTCCCTTGTAATTGAATTCATATTAACCATTTCTGTCACTCCGACTAGAGAACCTGGAATTTTTTTTTTTTTTAAATGAAAATATTTTTAACTCGAGTTTCAAATATGCATTTATTAAAAAAAAAAATTTCATTACCTCCCAACCAAGCAGTGTAATTTTCATGAGATGGACTTTCATGCATTTTGAAATCGTCAACATATAATTTCTTACTATATTTAGGCATTTTTATTAAGGATTTTAATTCAGCAAGCATTCGAGATTTTATTCCTAATGTACTGGCAGTTCCTCCGATTAAAAGAATACTTTCTGACAATGATTTTCTCATGTCTGTAGCGCACTACAATTAAATAAGTTTTAATAAAATAATTATTGTTTTTTTCTTCAAATTCAAATTTTGTACCGTTTTTTCTTCATTTACCTCAACTAATGAATTTAATATCATTGTCGGTAAAGATATTTCATCAGCATCTAAATCAAACAATACTTCGAAAGCTGTCTCTCTAACTTTTCCAGGAATCGTCAATAATTCAGTACCATTGATTCTATATTCGACAGAGGGTGGAGGAGTCAACACTTTATTTTCCAAAATTTGTTGAGCTCTTTCGAATGTTGTGACAAAACACAATCTCACTGCAAAAGAGTAAAGCTTATTTAAAAAAAAAAAATATTATTCTACTTAATTATTTTTTAAATTTACCCTTAATGTCTTCCAATTGTTTTTCTGTTAAATTTTCAATGAGTTTTAATTTTGAAGGCATTTCTTTTTCGTAATGTTCCATTAATAATCTTTTGATATTTTTTTCGACTGCAAGGCCACCCAATGGAAATGACTGATAAGCATGCAAAACAGGGTATCCTTCATAAACAGGTATTAAACAAGCTTCCTTGTATCCAATATCTATAATTTAAACAATCAAATATTAAATATATCAGAATCGAAAAAAAAAAACTCCCGAATATAGTCTCGAGTTTAATTATTTTAAAAAGTCGATGGAATAGTTGATGTTAAAACATACCTAAAACTAATCCTGTACTAACTGCTAAAGTATATAGTGCCACCATATGTGATGGAACCAAAAGAAGATAAGAAATTTGCATGTGGCAAAATAAAACTTTAGCAAGAGTTTCACGAACCTGAATAGGAGTCAGTAAAGATTCGACAATAATGACTTTTGTATCTTTCGGACTTAACAATATTCTTCTACAATCCAAAAAAAAAAAAAAAATTTTTATAATTTGTAATTAAATATTTAATAAATTTAAATTTGAATACTATTATTAAACTTACTTAAAATACAAATAATAAAAAAAATCCACCAAATTATTATACAATTCTTCAATTGTATCATATTTAAATACATTTTTAGATTTTCCACTTTGAGTGTCTTTTATTATCGTAGGAATAATACATCGAGGTTGTGGATCACCACAAATTCCAAATCTAATTTATTTTTCATATGAAACAAAAATAATAATTAATAATTAATATTTAAATAAGAAAAAAGAAAAATAAAAAAACTTGATGCATGAGTTTAAAAAAAATTACTTTGTGTATTTATATCCTATGTCTACAATCACAACTTTTTTTTCCAATGACACAATTTTGTCATAAAAATTAAATTTTGTTTGATCCATAATTGAAAATAAATCTGCTATGGTTTTATTAAACACCAATCAAACTGAAAAAAAAAAAAAAAAAATTATTTTGACATAAAACTCAATAAAAAAATTTTCACATTTATTACATAAACTTACTATTGTAAGTAAAATACAAAAATTGAAACTTTTTATAATTCATGAGTTTTATTAAACTTTTACAATTCGTAAATATTAATTAACTGACATCAAAAAAAAACTATTGGAAAAATTAAAAAAAAAATTGATTAAACTTTCCAACTACCATGTTAATACGAATAATTACATTTACGGATTTGTCTAAAACCACGTTAAAAAATGTATGACGTATACTTTTGTCAGCTGTACATTGTAATATTATTATGAATGGCAATGTAGCGTCATAGCTGGGCGTTTACAAGGTAAGTATTAATAGTTTATTTTAAAAATTTTCGAACCCAAACTCGACATTTTACTATAAAATTTTACAAATTATTATTTACCATTGATGAAAAACAATTTTACATTATTATTTTTAAAATTAGGACATGAAATTTTTAATATAAAATATTACATTAATTAAACCAGCTAAGGTTAATAATTTCGTGTAATTAAAAAATTGTTTTTTATGTTAATTTGTAAATTCATCATTAGATTTATAAATTTTATAAAAAAATGCATTGAGGAAACTGATTAATACTCGAAAATGCCCAATTTAATAATAATTGAGAATCCATTACTTACATTTGTTTCGTTTATATTTAATTATGGATTATAATAAAGTATTTATTGCCTTAATTTAATTATCCTTTAATCGATGATTTTTTCTAATTAATGGTGCCGATGAAATATAAAAACGAACGAATTAGTTGGAATAAACCAAGTTAAAACTTGTATCAATAAGTTATTTATTTATTTATTTTTGTCTTAAATACATAATATTTATTTCTCATTGAATTCTATTCGAGACAAAAATTATAATTACCAATTAAATTTTGAAAAAAGGGAAAACTCATGAAGCTTTTTTTAATCGAAAAAAATTAATTGTTATGGTTTTACAATATCGTAGAGTTTTCTACTTCTCCTCATTTTTCGAATATTTAGCTTTTGAAAGTATCTAAATTCATTTTTTTATGATTTACTGCTTTTTTTTTTTTTTATCAGTAGAACATTATCTTCAATTAGCATGATTAAGACAAAGCGACTAACTTTTTTAAAATTATGTCTGAAGGTTGTAAAAAAATTTATTATTATTATTATTATTCTCTTTTTTTAAGAATAGGTGATGATTATTTGTAAATATTTTTTGAATCGAATGAGTAGTAGAAATTATTATTTAATGTAATTTAGTTTTTTTTTTTTTTTGTGTGATGAAATTTATTACATAATAAATTTTTAGGAATCGACAAATGCTTTTGTGATGATCATTTCGAAAAGGAAAACTAAACAAATTAATTTCCACGCTTGTAAAAATACTTTTTTTAAAAAAAAATTTTAGTCGAATGCATATTTATCAAGTTGATTTATCATCATCATCATCGTTACCACCACTGCAATCATTCATTTAAATCATTATTATTATTTTAATTTTTTTTTTTTTTTTTGAAAAAGAGAGAGCACGAATGAGTAAGGTTAAAAAAATTTCAATTGAAAATATCAATAATACTAATAATAATAATAATAATAATAGGTAAAAAGGTTGAAAGGTCATTTCATTTTGAAATTGTCGTTATGAAATGTCATTGTATAATTTACATTTACAATGAGAGTTCTCGACTTTTTACAAAACTATTATTATTATTATTATTGATATTTATTTAATTTTTTTTGTCGTCTACTCTTTTATTTTAATAGATAATAATAATAATAATAATAATTCAAACTTATTAAAGTGAGAGAAAGAGAGAGAGAGAGACAAAAATAAATTTTAAAATTTTAGCCTTGCAAACATGTTGTCGTCTCTTTTTCATATCTCCAACCGACAGACACACACAGTCACACACACACACATTTTGCTTTTAGAATAATAATAATAATAATGATAATGATAATAATAGTTATGGTAATGGTAATGGTAAACAAATAACGAATTCATGTTACTTACTATCTTAAATTCCATCATTGAACTGATAAAAACTTCCTCCTTATTATTATTTTTATTTTTTCACAATTTTATTTATCTTGCTTGGGAGAAAAATTTTATTTCTCAAAAATTAAAAAAAACTTTTAAATAAATTTTAATGTTTTATAATAATAATAATAATTATTATTATTATCATCATCATGTCGAATTGGTTATGAGAGGGTTATGGTAAAATGAAAATATTTAGAAAAGTTTTCTTTGATTTCATGTAAAAGGAGGAAGTTGAATTATTATTACTATTATTATCATTATTATTTCGTTTTTTATTTATTTATTGGATTCACGTAGATTGTTTAATTTAATTAATAAATTTTTATGTAAAAATTGTAACTTATTTTCTTTCGTTCGTATTTTTCAGAAAATTGAAAAAAAAAAAAATAAATAAATAAATGTTAGGTTGATATAATAAAAAAAAAAAAAAAAAAAAAAAAAAATGACGGTTGATTTTGTGGATTATTTTTGGGGAGACAAAAATAATGGATTCGATGTACTTTATCATAACATGAAATATGGACAATTGTCGAGCAAAGAACTCTCGGAATATTTCCAAGAGAGATCAAACATGGAGGAAGTGAACGGTAAAGCTTTTAGCAAGCTTGCAAAGCAAACGACGAGCTGTTGCGGATTGGGAACGTTTGCTCCCCTCTGGGTCATACTCAGAACGTCCGCGGAAAAATTGTCCAATTTACATTTGCAAATGTTTCAAAAGTTGGCGGAATTGGTTAAGGAAATGACCAAGTACACGGAGGAATTGCATAAGAAACACAGGACGGTCAAAGAGGAAGAGTCGAGAACGTTGGAAATCGTGAGAACGATGCACACGATAACGCAAAATTTACAAAAAGCGAAAGAAAATTATCAGCAAAAGAGTTTGGAATTGGAAAAATTGAAAAAGGAAAATGGATCCCCGAAAGATATTGAAAAATCCGAAATGAAATTTAAAAAATCCCAAGAGGATTATAAGACTTTGATCGGGAAATATGGCACGACGAAAGTTGAATTCGAAGAGAAAATGACTCAAGCGTGTAAACATTTTCAAGAATTGGAGGAAGCTCATCTCAAACAGATGAAACAGTTTTTGAATAATTACGCGGAAATTGTTGAGAGTAATCACGATTCCGTGGGGAGTGTAAATATGGAGTTTAAAAGAAAGTGCGTGGAAATGACCGTGGACAAACTTTTGGAACAATTCGTATTGAACAAATACACGGGTTTGGAAAAGCCGGAAATAATTGAATTCGAAGAGGCGACCGTGTCTTCGACTTCGCGAACTCTCATCGCAAACGTTAGCCCGGATTCGGCTGAGGGAAGGGAAAAAGAATCGAAAACGTCTAGGGAAAGTAGTCACACGTTGAAATTCGAAGGGTTTTTAAAAAGTCGCAGGCGAAAGGGTAAAAACGCTTCGAAGAAAAAGAAGGAAAACAGTACGGATTCGTTTCGTGGCAAAGATGATAAATCCGACGGGGAAGAAGGGAAAGAAGATGGGGGTAGTACGAAAAATGAAATTTCAGCCGAACCCGAAATAGACGAAGAGGGTTATTGCATAAAACCCAAAGTCGATCTTTGGGATCACGAAAAGGGTAATTTTTATTCGAGCGGAGACAGCGATTCGGATGATGAAAGAGAGAGAAAGATAAAAGTGGAAATAAAACCGTTGAGGAGCAGCACGGCCCCCTTGAGCGCGAGCGTGGATGAATTGAGAGCGACGGTGGAAAATATTCTTCAACCCCCGGCAGCAGGGTTGGCGACCATGGGAAGAAGAGGTTCCGGCGTCGGAGATGATAAAATAAAGAGGTCGCAGTCTGTGTCTCAGCAAATAGGGAAACAAAGCAATGACCTGATGGCTCTTAATTTGTTTCAAAGTCCGACCGTATCAAGTGCTAGCACTCCGACGGGAAACAATCCTTACGCTCCTCTGCAAAGTCCCCCCACGCTCCAAAGTCCGACTCAACTCAGTAGTGCACCACCGTCCGCCACGTCGAAATATTCCGAATTGGATGTATTCTCGGAGGTGGGGGAAATTCAACCAATATTGCCACCCAAACAAACTCGTCAAACGCCCACGCCTACGTTTCGTCAAACTCCGACCCCTACTTCGGCCGTACCTTTTGCTCTTCCTCGTCCTCCATCCCGCAGAAGCGAAGGTCCTTCTCCGCGAGGACGTATGAGCCCGTCGGCCATTTCACGTACCGATAGCATTGGTAGCCTTGAATTCCGCACTTCCGGAATACCGGTGGGGTCATCTAGAGGTCCTTCTCCGTTGACCATCGGCATATCGGACACCATTCCTCTCGCTGTTGCATTCCACGAAATTTGCCATTGTTATTTCCGAGGTTCGGATGAAACAAAGTGCCAGGTCAAAATGTCGGGTGACATGATGGTGTCTTTTCCGGCGGGCATAGTCGCAGTACTCGCTCACAATCCTTCGCCCGCTTTGTTATCGTTTAGAATAAAAGATATCAGAAGGCTTCAAAACATCACACCCAACAAGCAATTAGTCTCAATCGATTCCTCTCAGTCTTCGTCGGACAGTCACGTTTTCGAATTCAACATGTCCGCTCTCACGTCTCTATTGAAAAAGCAAGCCGAACAAAATCCGACGGCATCTTATTTCAACGTCGACATATTAAAATATTTCATACGTCCCAAATCGGGAGCGAGTTCGTGTCCATTTCAACTCGTCGCGTACTGGAAATGTTCTCAAAGTCACACGGATTTAAAAGTCGATTACAAGTATAACAGTCACGCGATGGCATCCCCTTCTCCCCTTCTAAATTTAACCGTGTCCGTTCCCGTGGACGGGGGTGTGCGGAGTTTTCAAGCCAAACCCGATGCGACTTGGAACGCGGAAACAACTCGAGCCTTTTGGAAATTCACGGAATTATCGCAACACAGCGAGGGTCACGGCGTGGGGTCACTCCGGGCCAGATTCGAATTGACGAACGGTCCGGGTTCTCAAGGGACCATAGCGACTCAGTTTAATTGCGAGGGTACCACGTTAAGCGGAACGGAATTCGAACTCATAGGTACCGGGTACAGGTTGTCGTTGGTCAAAAGACGGTTCGTTTCGGGTAAATACATATGCGACGGAGATGTGGACTCGAAATATAGATACGCATCGCCTTCTAGCACAGAATGCTAGCCATTCTGAAAAAACGTTGTTATTGTTTTTGTTGTTGTTGTTATTGTTATTGTTATTATTATTATTATTATTATTACTGATAATGATAAATATAGTGATGATGATATTAGAAAGATTGTTTAAAATATTTATTAGGTGTATAAAAAAAAATGAAATAAAATAATTAAAGACAATAACAATAATAATAATAATAATAAATGAATATTATTTGAAGTGAAATAATAATAATAATAATAATACTCGAACAGTTTATAAAAATAAAATAAACAATGGAAATCGGTCACCAAAGAAAATCATCAAGTACAAAGTAAGAAGAAAGAAGTGGAGAAGAAAAAGTTAATATGGAGATCAAAAATTAATGATAATAATAATAATAATAATAATAATAAAATATTGTATATTATATTATATATATGTAAATTATTATATAATTGTATTATTTATTTGTTTGTATGCAAAAAAATTGTTGTTATTTGTTGTTTTTGTTGTTAAGAAAGCCAAAGTAAACGTCAACGCCTTCGTTACAAACAAACAAACAACAAGAAAACTGGATATAAACTTCCGTTTTATTACTTTTTTTTTCCGGTTTCTTTTGTTTCGAAACAAAGCCGAAAAAGAAAGAGAAAGAAAGAGAAAGAGAAAGAAAGAGAGAGAAAGAAAAAAGGTGGGTTTTCCAATTTTTTTTTTTTTTTTTTTTTTTTTTTGTTTTTGAAAAACCCAGAGCAAACGCAAACGCCGCGTGGCCATATTGAAAAAATTTTTTTTTTTTCTGTTTAACCGGTAAATAAATATATATTGGCGTTGGCGTTTGCGTTTACTTTGGCGTTTATTATTATCATTATCATTATCATTATTATTATTATTTTAAGTTAATTAATTAATTATTATTATTATTTTTGTAAATTTATTACGTAACGGATTTTTTCGGTCGTGTTCGATCGTGATCCGATCGTACTCGTCATCATCATTATTATTATTTAAAAAAATTTTTGTCGTTATTACCCCCCCCCCCTCGCCCCCGTTCGTTTATTTAAAATAAAAAAAAAAAATTTTTTTTAAAATTATTATTATTATTTTGTTTTTTCCATTTGTCATTTCAGTCAAAAACAAGATATGTTACCTGGAAAGGGTAAACACGGTTTCAAGAGAACGGGAAAAGGTGGAAAAGATGTCGGAAAAGTCACGGCGGGAACGTCCAAGTCGAAAGAATCGCCGGCGAGCAAAGTTAAAAACAACAAAGATTTGGATTTGATAGACGATAAAGATGGCGTCATATCGTCTTTGCCGTTGTTCAGGTTGGCGGACAATAGCAGGATGTTACCGAGGTACACGGCCGTACTCGCGAGATCGGAAGAAGATGGAGTCGGAATGGAAGATCTCGACACGCTTCAACTCGAATTGGAAGCTTTGCTATCTTGCGTGGCTGTTCGAAACAGGGTCATACGGGAAGAGATTAAACTATTAGAATCTGCCGAAGAGAAAAGAGATAAAAAATCAAAGACGACGGTTTACGGCGGGAGCGGGAGCGGGAGTGGGAGTGGCAGCGGGACCGGGACCGGGAGCGGAGGAGGAGGTATCAAACGTGGAGCTAGCACGAGGAGCGATGATAGCAGACCCATTAAAATACTAAAAGAAAATTTGAAATCTGACGTCACGGCATCGTCTGGAAAATTAAACAAAGTTAAATGTCCTTCAGGTACGTTGAGAAGAGACTTTGATTGGTCGGTTAAAGTCAAAAAGTCGTTTTGAGTTGGTTTATTTTAAATCAGTTCTGAATTTTTTTTTTTTTTCAGGTGCGTCGGATGTCCAATCGAAAGACGCACCCAAACCCGATGCCCCGAAAATCGTCATACACAAAAACGACACGCCGAATAAATTTTGGGCATCCGTCGAACCCTACTGCGCACCCATAAGTCAAGAGGATTTAAATTATTTGGAAGAATTGATAAAAACGAGGGAAAAGGAAAGAAATGGGGATCTCATGAAAATACCACCGCTGGGCAAACACTATTGTTCCCGATGGGCGGACGAAGATTTAGGAGAAGAAGTCAAAAGGAAATCCGAGCCTCCCGACAAAATAGGGTAACGTATTCGAATCCCCCTCCCCCGCCCCGCCCCCGTACACGTCGAAACTCGTAAAACAGTTGGGATTTTTATTGCGTAGGGGAACGGCCGGACCTCTCACACAAAGGCTCCTCTCGGCTTTCATAGAAGAAAAAATAACAACGACGCCGATACAGGAAATGACTCCTCCCGAGGGGGGAAAAGGTAGCAAAGAAGTGAGCACCTCTCGTCAGACGGCAATAAAAAACGTGCAGAGTTTGTCGTTTGAAAGGAGAGTGAGAAAGGAATTGAGGGAACAGGGAATATTGGACGGAGATGAAGCACCCAAGGTGATTTTAGTTCTAGGAATTTTGGGGATATTTGAACGTGACGTGGAACTAATGGATTTTTTTTGTTTGATGACAGGAACAAGCAGACGACGAACTTCTTTTGGAAATAAAAAGAGTGCAGGGAGAACTTCAAGTCATATCACAACACAACCTACAACAGCTCAAACATCTTCACACGCTCGCCATGGCTCAAATGCAAAGGCAAGAACTCAAGAGAAAGATAAAAGGGATCGATACGGAGGTAATGATGATAATAATGATGATGATGATGATGGGAATGAAATAAACGTTTTTTATAACCGTTAACCATTTGCAATTACAGTTGCTCAACATATTCGCATCGAAACAAAAGAAAAAACATTTTACGAAAAAGGAAAAAGATCAAGCGTGGCGATTCATTAAGGAAAGGGAATCGCATTTGAAACAACTTTACGCCATTAACGGAAATTGATGGATTAATAACCGGAAAGAAAGAGAGAGAGAGAAAGAGAGAAAACCTAATCTATAATTTCCATTCCTTCAACATGCGATCAAACAAAAAAAAAGAATCGAATTTTTCATTATATAATATATACACGAATGGGAACAACAATTTTTATTCATCGATAATTTATATATATATATCGAAGATCGAACTTTCGAGATTTTTTTATCGAAATCGATTCGATATAATTTTCCTTTTTTTTTTTTTTTTTTTTTTCAAATTGTGTACAATACAAAAAGCAAAAAGCAAAAAAAAATGTAAAGTTTCTGATAATGAAAAACTCTAATAATAATAATAATAATAGTGATGATAATAATAATAAAACCTCGTAGAATTTATTTAGAAATTTCCATATTGAGAAAAATTGGGAGAGGGAGGGAGGCGGGGGAGGGGACGGGGAAAAACAAGAAAAAAAAGAAGAAGAAAGAGAGAAAGACAGAAAGAAAAACCATAATTTTAGAATTCTAAATAATAATAATAATAATAAATCATTATATTGATGAGTGTATGTAAAAAAAAAAAAAGAGAAAGAAAAGAAAGAATGAATGAATGAATGAATGAATGATTGAATGAAAAACAACAACAAATCAATAATAAAATACCTTAAAGCCATCGTTACGATCATCACATTAATTAATAAATGATTAGTGGGTTAGTTAATTAAATAATTAATTAATTAATTAATTGATAAATTATTTAAATACTGATAAAATGATAAATAAATAAAATGATAATAATAATAATAATAATTATTATTATCAAGCGTAAAAGTATATATATATATATATTAATTAATTAATTAATTATACGATTAAAAAGCAATTTTTTTTATCAATTGACTACGTTTCTTTCGTTTGTTTATCTTATCGAAAATTAAATTTGGGGGGGAATGATGACGTAATTAATAGTAATAATAATAATAATAATAATAATAATAATAAAACTCGGATATATCGTAATCGTTACGTAAAAAAAATAAATTTGATACGAAAAAAAATGATCGATTGACTAGATATAAATAATATAAAGAAAATAAAATTTTCCAGTAAAGCTTTTTTCGTCTTACTATTATTATTATTATTATTATCATCTACGGTGCTCGTAAAGTTTTTTTTTTTTACCACTAAAGGGTAAGCGGAAGACGCGATATACGATACGATTCGAAACATTTTTTTTTTTTTTTTTTTATCACTACGAAACACACACGCACATGCGAGAATTTTTTTTTTTTTTTTTTTTTTTTTTTTTACTCTCTTGGTAATTAAAAATAAATAAAAAAAGAATTCAAATTTTGATTTTCCTTAACGTGACGTCATAATTATAATGCCAACGACATCATCGACGTCATCATTATATCGTTTCCTAAATGGAGGAGGAGGAAGCCAAAAAAAAGATGTCTTCCCCCTCGCCCCTCCCCTTTCTACTCCGCCCCAATTTCCCAGTTAGAATTTTATTAAAATGAATTCGGTTTAAAAATCATACGAAACTAATAATAATAATGATGATAATAATAATAATAATAATAATAATTTTACGTTTTTATTATCACGTGATAATAATTTTTAATAAAAAAAAAATACGGAATGTCATTTCCCTTTTTATATTTATATAATACTGATCGAGTTTGTGAAGACGGTTAAAGTTTTCTATCATCATCATCATCATCATCATTATTACTATTTTTATTTATTACGAGAGAAAGAAAAAAAAATCAACTACTGCATTAAAGGAAGAAGAAAACCGATGATGACGACTACACGACAGGAAGATGTTTGTTCGTTTGTTTGTTTTTGTACATTTTTAAATAATTCGTGGAATTAAAAAAAAAAATAAAAGAAAAAAAAAATCGTCTGCTACGTAAAAGAACCTAACGTGTATTAAATAATACACGTGCCTGAGCGAGTGGAAATAAGCAAAAACACGTGCACGCGCACGTACAAACATTCGCACACGTGCAAAACAACCTACACTAACAACGAAGGCATCGCTTTTTGCTTATACATTACGGGGAATGGGGAAAAAATTATTATCGATTTATCGATTTGGCAACGTCGAACACGCGACGGCGACGTCAGGGATTTTTTTTCCCCCCTCCCTTTTCGTCGTGACGTTTCGTTCCCGCTTAAACGTTTCGCATGGAGTGTAAAAAAAAAAAACACGAATCGATTTGTTTTTTTTTTTTTTGGAATTTTCTAGAAAAAAAAGGTGACGGCTTCGGTGTTAACTAAAGGAACCATTTCCGAATTTTACTACTACCCGAATTTCATTCTTTTCTAAATTAATTACCCGCCCTTGTATACTAAAAACTTATAACGTTCAACTATTGTTTATTATTATTATTATTACCGCTACTGGAGACAAATATTGCGAGTATTTAAGACGTATATATATATATATAAATATTTATCGTAATGCGTGAATGCTTTTTTTTTTAAAAAATACTATTATTATTATTATTATTGGCGAGTGCTTGTAAAATTTTACGTGTTTCGCATTGTGATAATTCTAAATACGCACACACACGCACACGTGCACACACACACACGCCTACCTACGCATGCCTATTTAAGTGCTTTTTTTTCTTATCAATAGCAAAAGTTACGCGACCGTTAACGAACGAACCCGATAAGAAAAACTTGAGAAAAGGAAAAGCGTGAAAATTTTTTTACTTACAGAGCTATAAGCTTGACGTTGCAATTTTTCCACCTTTCGTCCAATTTTTTCAATCCCTCGATGTGACTCTCCGTCATTTTGTAAGAGTTTTCCAACGGGTTCATTCCTTTCAATTTTCTCGGATCCAAATTGGCTCCCAAACTGTGAACGCCTTTGGCCAATTTCGAAAAAGGCGAAAGCATGTCTTTGGTGACGGCCGCGGGAGACGTTATAACGCTAGCAAAATTTGCTTTCAACGATTTCAATGCGTTTTCGCTTTGCGACGACACGAGATTGCAACTCACATCCTTGTCGGAAGTCGAAAGGAAATTTTTCGCGAGAGGATCGTTCATTTCCTTTCTCTTTTTCTCTTCTTCAATTTCGTTCGACGAACGCGAGAGTTTCCGGTTGATGTTGAGAGTTTTCGGTGGCGACAATTTACTCTTATCCGAGCCTTTGATCGCTAAAAATTCTCGATACGTTTTCATGGATTCGTCCAATTTTTCCTTATCGAACGTCACGTCCGTTTTCGAATGTAGAAATGGAATTTTCGATTTTTTCGATACGATTTCGACGTCGATGAATTTCGACGGTGATGCAAGCAATCGAGTGGTGTTGGCATTATTAATTGACGCACATTTAGATTTTGGATTTTCATTTTTCATGAGTATTCCGACGTTGAGCATATGCATGTGACGAATTCGGAGCAAAGGACACAAATCGTCAAAATAATCAAACGATGTCCGGTGTCGACGACTTTCGATTTGACTCTCGATCGATACGCAAGGGGGCGACGGCTAAAAATATTATTACAAACGTAAAACAAACTTGTTTTTTTTTTTTACAAACAAACAAACAAACAAACAAACAATATAGATTATTCTCGAACAACAATTACCAAATTTTTTAATTTATTCATTCGTTGATTGGGACTTTTCCTAAGACTTTGTCCTAACCTGTTGATTTTGGAAAACTGTTGAGTTATGTTATTGAGAGCTTTTGTCCCGGCACTTTTCAACGAAACCAATTGCGTTTCGGATATGTTTCTCGTCAAACCTGAAACGGAATAATAATAAAATAAATTCCCCGTACGCACTCAATTGCAATTAATTGTTCATTAATTATTATCGGGAACGTACCTTGAGTCAAACCTAAATCGAGGTAACTTCCCAAACGGCAATAAACGTCCGGATCTAACAATTTTGATTTTTGCTTATCCATAACTTTTCCTTGGACGTACATAACGGGAGGTAATTGAGCTATTTCGAAAGCTACTAAAAATGTTTCGCATATGGCCTTTAAAGATTCTGAACAAGAAAAAAAAACAATTATTATTTGTAATTATACCTCTCTCTCCGTTGGTGTGTTGCATTTCTTCGACTTACCCTGCATTTCTTCCGCGGATTTAATGACCACAGTCATGTTGTTGAAAAATCTTAAATTAGTCGAACGAAACATGTGAAAATATCCGTCTTCTCCGTCCACCAAATAATGAATTCTAAAACAATATTGTTCGATGTTTGCAGATTTGTTAAATTTAAACATGGACGACACGTTATTCGACTGAATGATATTCGGGCCCAATTCTATCATGACGACATCTTTTAATTTGACTTTTTGATATTTGGTCACTCTGTCTATTTGTTCGTCGTAACTAAAAAATGGCAAGTTTTAATTTTTCGGTAAAAGGTCATCAGAATATTTATTTCGTGTGAAAAAACTTACTCGGCCACATAATAAGCATCTTTTGTTAATATTAAAATGGTATCCATATCCGTTTCTGACGAATCTCCCGTTCTGCAAATAAATAAAAAACAAATGAAAATTCGCGTGGGAAATTTTTTTGGCGTGCCAAAAGAGAACAAAAAAATCCACTTACACAGGATCGGCATCGATTAAACCCCAACTTCCCAAAATCATATCAAGATCATTAATTAATAATTTTTTACTGTCTTCTATGAGTAGTTTAACATGCTCTGCTGTGGCTACGCTATCTTCTTCATCTCCTTTTTGTTCCGTGTTAAAAATTTCTTCTGAAATTTCATTCCCACACATCATGTCAATACTGGCTTGACGGTAGGCATCTTTGAATCGACTTAAATAGTACCTAAAAAAAAAACAAAAAAAAAATTATTTTACGTTTTGAAAATTTTTCTTTTCTTCCCCCCCCCCTTTTTAACGGAAAAATAAGAAAAAAAAGAAGTAAACTACTCAATTAATAATAATAATAATAATAATTGAAAAATAAAAATAAAATAAAAAATTTTTAAAAAAAATCAATCGATCAATCAATCAATCAATGAACCGTCACGATCTCAATACCAACAACAAAACAAAAAATTTATTATTTACATATATATACCTGAAAACCTGATTTTGCGTAATAAAAATCTTATTTTATTTACATGAATGCAACAAAATATTTATATGCAATCAATGAATAATAACAATTCATTAAACAATGAACTTTTTATACATTTTGAGGTAAAATTTAAATATATATATATAAACATGTTCAATAGCGTAAAAAAAGTGTCATCATGAAAGGAATTGAATCTTTTCAAACGCTACTGACCTCAAAACGTGAAAAACAGCATTTGTCAAGATGATTTCTGATGCAATAGGTATATATTTAACTACCTCAGATGAATTCTTCGGGAGAAGGATAGATGCCAAGGTTACTATATCGTCTGATACCAGAACAATGTCATTTGTTAATTTATTAAGTAAGTCGATAGCCTCAATTTCTTTTCCTTGTGATAAATCCAGGGCGGCTTGACGATAAGAATCTAGGAGATGAACCCGCCAATATCTGATAAAAGCAAATCATCGTGGTACTACACGTGTGCACCCAAATTTCAGTGCATTTTTTTTTTTTTTTTTATTTATTTATTTTATTTTTCAATTACTTATTAAAACCAGATTATTTAATAACAATTTTTTTAATGTAAAAGTATCTACTACTGCTACTAGTACTACCTATTGGCCGAATTCATTCCGTCTTTCATCAATCCGGTAAACTTTCTCTCGCCCGTTCTCGTGTAATCCCCTTTTAAAGCGTTCGTTCCTGCGTACTGCTTACTTATGATGTCACCATTATTCGCCCATAATAATTGGAATGTGGTTCGAACCATTTGAGGTAGCTGACCCTCGGGAACGATTAATCCCAGTTTAGTCATTTGAATTTCCAAAACGAATTTTGCCAATGCCGTCTGAAATTTAAAATTCTATCATAACCCATCCTTAAAAAAGTAAAATTGTAAAAAAATAAAATAAAACTCACTTGAACGACATTAGTTCTATCTAAACAATCGATGCAGTTAACTCTGAAAACTCCATTTTGAAGACATATAAGTCCTTCTTCATCTTTCCAACAGTAACCCATGTTTTTAACAACTTCTTCCAGACTAGCCGTTAAATAGGAAACGTTTTCGAACCTCATTCCGCGACTAGATAAATGATTTCAATTGTTAGTTTACAAGAACTTATCATGTGCACAAGCACACGTTGATATATAAAAACATTTTATACCAATATTCGTGAAAGTCGAACGTTGCGTAGGTTATTTTGGGTTCATTGTAGGCAAGAACGTGATTGGTGTAAGCATCCCATATTATTTTTTCCTTTCCCGTTTGTTCAACTAAATTAACGATGCATATCGGTCCGTACGTTTCTATTTCTTTTTGAAAATGTTTTTCAAAAATAATTTGAGTTTCCGCCGGCCCTAAAAAACATACACATGCTATAGAAAATCAAAAGGAATTTGTATGACACGTGGTACGGGGGGTAAATTATTTGCTAATGATTAAAAATACCCCTATCCAATCTCGGTGGGGGTCTGTATTTGTAACCGGGTTGAGACCAAAATATCGGAACGGATCCTCTTATTTGAACAAATGAAAATTTATGCTTTCCATAAACTAAAATCTGTTCCGTTTCGACATAGTTTGCACAATTTCCATCATCGTCCACGCCTCTTCTTTTATACCTAGTCCCAGCTCTGTGTCTACTTCTCCTCGATATCAATATTATCTTGAAATGCTTTTATTAAAAGTAAAATAAACAATTTTTAATTTTTGTTTTCACCAGCATCATAAAGAAAATATATAAGAAATGAAATAATATCAAAAGCTTACTTCATATTTCGATATGAAATTATCACTTTCAATAAAATCACAGCCTATTTCAACTTTACAATTTTCAATTTGCACAAAACCTTGAATGACGGGAAAAATCCACGGGTCAAATAAATTACTCTGGAAAATTTTTTTTAAATTTTGAATGAATTTGTCACCAAACTAACATAAATATTAATAATAATAATATTTAATCATTCGTTTTTTTAACTCACTTGGCTGTTTAGCATATCACGAATCATGTATTTATTCCAAAAAAATCTGTCATCAATATTTTGCCAGTTATTATTATTATTATTATTATTACTATTTTTCAAATTCAAATCGTGATGCCTTTGAAGAGAATTTGTGAGATCATAAGTCATTGAAAAATAAAAACTATCAGTGTCTGTAATTGATAAAATGATTTTCATTAATTAAATTTATGGGAAATGAATTTTTTCAATCGACAACACTGCACGATATTACCTGTGAAAATTTTATTGAGTTCATCGAGAATTCTTTTTTCAAACTTATCTTTGTCTTTGGAAATAAATTTAAATTTAACTTGAGGTATGGCCAAAGCTGCAGCTTGTTGAGTCGAATTTTTAATACTGTTTGTCGCAGATTTAACAGCTCCCAACGTTTTGGCAAATGTCGATTTTTGATCGAAAAAACCGCTCTGAAAAATTTTGAAATAATTATAAATGAAAATAAAATTTCTTTTTTTTTTTTTTTGTTTTTTTCTATAAGTCAAACTCATAGTATATAAAGATAATTTTTTTAAATATTGATAATACTTTTTTGGTAAAAGTAAAATGTTGATGTTTTTTACAAGTGGTCAAATTTAAAGAATCATGATTTCCAAGCGATAAAAAAGCTACAGACTTAATTTTGTATATCACATGACCATCAACATACTCTCCCACAGCTTTAAACTCTTTGATCAATACAAGCCTTGGTTCCACAATAGAATCTATTTGAACTTTTCCTATTATACCATAGCAAATTCCCAGACATTCCGGATCAATGGCAGATGCTAAATCCCAACCTGTTAATAAATAAGATTAAAATAAAAATTTAATTAAAAAAAACGTTATTATGTGTGTCTGTTTCACAATTTTGACAGATGAGAAATATAATAAAACCGAAGACGTGATAATTTATCGTTTTATTAAAAAGGATCAATATCTTGAGAAAAACAAAAAAAAATTTACATGATAAGGACAAATAAATTTTAATGTACCTGTTTTAGGAGTGAGTTCTCCTGTGGTTCTGTTCCACCACAAACTATATTCATTTTTAACAAATATGTAGTATTGTTCAGTTTTGAAAAGTTCAATATTGGAAGGACGAGATTGGGTCAATTTTGAAGACATTTATTTGATATCACCCGAAACGAATCGATTTTAAGACAAATACACCTTTTTGAAAATTAATCTATCAATCTGAATCCAAATCATCCTACAATAATTGTAAAAACTAATTCGTAAAGGAAAATAAAATAATAATCATAACGATAATTCTTATGTAGCTCTTAATTTCATATTAGCTGGCGACTTTTTTCCCCTTCGAAATATTTAACTTCTTCCACGGCAAAACTATTTGAATTCATAAATTGCATTTAATTTCAAGAACAAATTAAAATTTTTCAATTAAATGACCATCACTTACATATAACACAACCTTTTTATCAATTTTTTTTTTTTTTTTTTTAATCAACAGAATTTTAAATAAAATTTCAAACATTTAAATATAAAAAACATATAAATTATAAAACGAACAAACATGGCAGCGGATCTCCACATCTTCCTTATCATAACTTTAAAAAAAAAAAATATTATTGACTCCTTTTAAATTTTTTAATTCATTCACTTTACTTTTAAAAACCTTTATTAAAATTTTTTAATAATTTATTTTATTTAAATATATTAAATTTAATTCCATCAACTCTTATCCTTAATATTTTTTGCACAGCCATCATTTTCAAAGATATAAGGAGAAGTTTGTTTTCCTATAATTTCTAATTTTGATTTTGAACCGCTTGATTTCTTAAGGGCATTCACTTGATCTTGATTGCATTTTATTTCCCAATCTAATTCTGCTAATGTTTTCTGCTGTTTTTTCAATTCTCTTTTACTAAATTCAACTTTGGCTAAAAGCTGTTGACTTTCTAATTTTTTGTTTTGCAATGCCACTTCTGGATTTTTAAAATCCGATTCGTTGACTGTGATAGTTGTCGAAAAAATATTATTTTCATTCTGAACCTGATCGTTTAACAGCACTAATTCTAATTCTTTTTGTTTTAATTCGATGAAAATTTTTTTCAATCCTCCTGCTTTATCCATAAAATCTTTTTTATCACCATAAATATTTTTTATATATCTCTGTAGGTCTTCCAAAGCCTTTTCAGTACGTTTTGAATCTGAATAAGTGACATCGAATGAAAGGCTCTTGGTTGGATTTTGATTGCACATATCTCCGAGAATCAACAAAGCATCATTTAGAATTTTTTTCGCACTTACAGATGTTTTACTCATACTTTTATCCTTGTTAATTTCTTGCAATAAAAAAGTTAAAATTTTTAAAAAATTACTCACAATAATAGGCACTACATAAATTTTTTCTTTTTTCGTATGCATGTTACATTGAACACTTTGACTGATTTTTTCCACATTTTTAATTTTAAATTCTCGAGTCGTTTTTTGAGTATGAGAATAAGGAATATTAGTTGTTGCATTTAAATTTTTAGCAAACGAGAACAATCTTTCTTTTTTTGAATCGCTTTCATGTGTAGTATGTTCTCCATGAGGGCTTTTATTAAAAGTTTTTTTACTTTTATCAAATTGTGCCGAGGTTGAAAATAATTTATTCGCATTATTTTCAACAAAAATATAATTTATTAAATTTTTTGATGATTCCTTTTTTTTTTCAACATCCAATTTAGAAAATTTTTTCTTTTTGATCGATATTTTACTTCCTTTAACACTTTCGGAAGTTTTATCAGGCTGAGGTTTCGGCTCTTCCACATCATTTTCAGCAGAAAGAACTTCATCATTTGATGATTTGCTCGACTGAGCTCTTTGATTCTCATTAACAGTTTCATTTTTTTTTAAATCACTTTCATTTTGATCAGTTGATCTCCTCGATTTGATGGCTTCTCTATACAATTCAAGCTCGTTAGCTTCATCTGCCACAGAGGGTCCAGGAAGAACCGGCAAAGGATGAGGATAATATTTATAATGTTTTAAAGCAGTTTGAGGATTATGAGCTTTTTCATTCGGAAGACTGCTGGCAGGTTTTAAAGAACCAAACATTAAATTCATTGCTGATTCTTCCGGTTCGAAAGCCTGTGGCTCTTTATATGTTGTACTCATTCGCGGTAAGTATGACATTTTTTTCAACTGTACCCAGCTTTAGTATTAACACATAAAACTTTTATTTAGACATATACCTGAATGAAAGCAAAATGATTATTTACTTTAAATAAATATTAAAATTTATAAATTTTTCCCTCATGACACAAAGTAAATAATACTTTTGCTTAATTTTTCAAATACGTCGTAACTTTCTAAGTACATATAGTATAACTGAAAACTACAAATACACTTATGTACATAATAAATATACATAAATATACATAATATTATTTACTATAAATGCAATTTAACACATATCTAATTTAATTCTAATAAAAATAAAAAAAAAACTAACGAAAATAATAAAAATATTAAAAATTACTAACTTAAAAATATTATATATATATTTTTCATATTATATACATATTTATATATATATTAAAAATTATGATAATTAATAAAATAAAATAAAATAAAATTGTATGAATTAAAAATAAACAACAAAAAGTGGCAAAATCGTTTATCGTTTTGATTAATGCCACGACCTTTTTTACATTTCTGCGATGAATAATTGTCGACGTGAAAAAAAAAAAAAAAAAAAAATGTAAACGAAACTGTTATGTGTCATAAACAAATGTAAGTTTAGTTTGTCTCAAGTTAAACGTAGCAGTTTGAATTTGACGTAGAACCTTTAAAGAGTTAACCATGTCAACCTGATATCGTACCTTATTATTTAAATTAATGGATAATTTAAACGTTTTTTAAAAATAATTTTTAACATTTATTTAAAATTTTAACGTATAAGTGTCAGTTGTTTGAAATTTACTTAACGTTCCAGTTTTTTTTTTTCATTTTTTTTTAAATTTATTTAAATTTATTATTAATTTAATTAATGTAGATATTTATTAAAAAAAAAAAATTGTGTTGTCAATTTAACCAAAAAGTTATTTATTTATTTATTAATAAAAAAAAGTGCTGTCAAAAAATTGAAATATTTCATTTACATGAATGCTCAAATATTTATTAATTTAATTATTAATAATAATAATTATTTAAATAAAAAATTAATGGTAAGTCACAATCATTTATTATTATTATTATTATTATTATTATTATTTAATTTAATTTATAACAAATTATATTATTAATAAATAAAATCAAAATATATTATTAATATACTTAAATTTAAAAAAAAAAAAAAATTTTCTTATTTTAAGTGTGTTGAAATGAATTTATTATTATTATTATTATTATTATTATTATTATTATTAATTACAGAATTGATAATAATAATAATAATTTTACATTTATTTAATTAAATATTTAAAATAATTTTATTATTATTATTTTTTTTTATTAAAACTATTTAAGATTTGGAATTTTTTTTTTTTTTTATTTAATACTCAACAAACATGTGTTGTTGTTTTGTTAAAACTGTTACAAAGTATACTACTTAAAAAAAAAGTTGATTGATTGATTGATTGATTGACTTATTTGTAAAATTTTAAAATTTAAAAAAAAAAAAAAAAAAAGATAAGATTTGTAAATTTCTTTTATTCAAATGAAAAACAATAGAGCCTTTAATTAAATTTTTTTTGCAAATCAAACACTATATGAATTATAAATTGTATTGTATGAATAATAATAATAATAATAATAATAATAATAATAATAATAATAATAATAATAATAATAATAATAATACTAAAAATCTTTTAATTTATTGAATGAGTTTGTAAAATTGTATAGGGGAAAAAAAAAACTAAAAATTATTTTATATGTTTTAACCTTTAGTTAACAAAACAAAGTCTTTACATCATTTCTCCATTTTTAGTCTGTGAATTATTAATTTTATTTTTAAAAAATTCTAAATAAGTTTTTTTTTTTATGTATTTAGATCTCTTGATTTACTTTTTCTTTTTGTACCTTGAAGTAAAAAATATTTTTTGTTTTGTTTATTTTTTTTGGTGTTTTGAATATGCAATCACAAAACAATATGGGTTTTGTTATCTATCAATACAATGTGATGATTGTCATTCAAATCACGTCCCACGTTACTTTCAATATAAAAAAATTTTTTTTTTTTTTTTTCTAGATTACGTGCAGTAATCTTTTTAAAGTTCTCTCTCTCTCTCTCTCTCTTTCTCTCCCTCTCCCCAAGCTCTAAATTAATGTCAAATAAATTTTATAAATATCATAATCAATATTAATTTTACTTCATTAAAATCCTATAAAAAATTTTAAGAATTACAATAATAATAATAATAATCTTATTGTTTTTTTTTTTTTTTTTTGTAAAGTTTAAAAACTGTATAGGATTACATTGAAAAAAAAAATTGCAAATTATTTAAATTTAAATTCAATTCAATAAAAAAAAATTCCCATTATATAATAATTATTTTTCACA